ACGCCGTGGCGACCGCGTCCTTCTGCGCACTCGTGTGGGCGTGCTGCAGGGCCTGCTCGAACATTTGCTTCTGCAGGAAGACCTTCCACACCTCTCGATCCTCGTCCTCGACGACCACCTCGAAGATCTCCTGCCCCGTGAACAGCCAGTACGTGTGTTGCATCGAGTCCGTCAACAGGCCCAGCGCACTCTGCCCGGGTTCCAGCACCGATTGCTCATACACGATCTCGTCATTCATCCGGTTGACCGCCACGACCCTCCCCTCGACCAGAACGAAGATATGCCACTCCGAAAGCGTCACGGCCGTGATAGGATCCTGGATCATTTTCTTCCCCCCGCGAGCCGACTCGCTCGCCGGGAACAGCGTCCGGGGAAGCATCGTCGCCTTATCGAACGGCTGGCGCAACTCGTCCGCCGAATACGGCAGCTGGCCGTGAAAGATACCCTGCGAGCTGAGCCACGCGAATTCCTTCCCCGATTTGGCGTCCACGCTCGTGCCATCCGCGCCAGCAGGCGAGATCACCAGCGCCGACGGCGCGGCGCGTGACGGGTTCGGCACCTCATGGACCGCCGGCGCTTCCCTCTGGAACAGGTCGCTGTAGACGTGGCTCCCACTATCTTTGCCGTGCCGCGCCGAGGGTCCCACAAAGTGCATCAGCTTGCCATGTGTCGCCAGCAACACCCGCCTCTGCTCCGGCTTGGTGGGCATCAGCTCTGCCCAGATTCCGATCACGGGAGAACCCTCCGGGACCTGGTAGACGGTGTGGACATATTTCTCTTCGCGCCGGTAAAACTCCGTCGACGGCTCAATGTAGACCTCGTAGACGTGTCCATCTGTCGACCCGACGAGGATCTCCCGGGTCGACGCGGTCGGGAGCGACGGGTTCCATGCGACGCTCTCGATTGAAACGCCCTTGAGCCGCGGCAGCGGCTTGGGTTGTCTGGATTGGGTATGGAGGTAGTAGTTTTCGCCTAGACTGGTGGTGATAATCAGGTGGGACGCCGAGGGGTCCAGGAACATGCGACGGATGACGCCGACTTCTGACGATTTCTTCGGCAGGTCGACATCTAGGGGACCGCTCAGTTAGCGGGATCTAATTCGGGGCGGGGACCACGCCATCGATACAACGTACCGTCGATATCTTCAGGGGCATCCAGGTCAATGCGCAGAATCCGGTTCGTCGACAGGGCCAGAATCAGAACGTCTTTCGCCACCTGGGCTGCGACGAAATCCGCCGCGAGGGGGAACTGAAGCTGAACGCGGCGGACATCAAACATGGAGAGAGAATCGGGCGGGTCGACGAGGTTGCCGGGAGCAGCATAACCACTGGAGCTGTCCAGCGCCATGATGCGCCAATTATGCAGGGGAGGATTATATCATATCGCGACGACGGGGACAGTGGGGAAAAGCAAGGACCAGGAGAAGAGCTGGGGTGGTCAAGCTGTTGGCTGAGTTGGGAGAGGTGATTGACGATGACGGATCGCTGATAGCGGAGGCGGAGCGGTGGGTGCCTGGATACCTGACCATCGATCGGCATATGCCTGAGGCTACACACATATACCTCTCTAATCTCTACAGTCTAGGACCAAGATCTCATCATGAAAGCTTGCGTAATTATATAACACACGGGTATCAAGTAATAGTCGCCTGCGCTTTCAAAGCACAAAAGAAAAGAAAGACAAAAATAAAATCCCATGCAGGTGTCCCGCACCACCCTCTACATGACCACACACTCGCGCTCCACCTTGCGGCCAATTCGCTTCTCTTTGGATTTCCCCTTCTTCTCCTTATAACTAGCGCCCTCTCTACGTCGCGGACTCTTGTCCCTCGCCTCCCCGCTGGGTACTGAACGTATGGTGGGGGAAGATGACAGGTCTTGATACACAAAATCGTCATCACCGTCGGGAAGAGACCCATCATTGCTGACTTTTTCCCTGCTGCGCCGCCCCGTAAACCGTTGGAACGTGGTACTGATCCGGTTCTCACTCGCCTGGCTGCCTGCACGGCTTCCGGGGTTGCTTCGGGTCGCCCGGGATCCACGCCGAGGAAATCCAAAAGAATTCCGATTCCCCTCGGCATCCTTGGGGAGGAGTTGCGGCGAGGTGGAAGGGACTGAAGCCCAGTGAGAGCTGGTGGAATTGTTGGCGTGATCGACAGAATCGGAGAAAATGATGCTTTGTTTCTTCTCAATCTGCTCGGCAGGCGCCGGCTGCGTGTTTTCTGGAACAGTGATCTCGAAGCTGGGTCGCCCGGATCTGCCGCCCTCCATGAGATCGTCCGATGAAGTGCCTGTACGCAACGCCTGCAGTTTATGGGTGATGGTGGCCGGATCCGAGTCGTGGGAGTCCTCCGAGTATCCCAAGGAGGAATTCCGGTCCCGGAGATTGGCTGCGGCCGCGTCTTCATCCACCGGCAGGATCTGGTAAAACAAGAGGTACGGCGACTCGTGCCTTAGGGCCTGCTCAATGTCAACGAGCGTGACACGCTCTGCGGCTAGATCATCGAACCGCATCCAGTAACGGGGTGCGTCCGATGAGACAGATTCCGCGTGAGAACTGGCTGGCGGCGCACCGGCACTGGTGCCTCGAACAAGGGCGATGTAATGTCCCGAATCAACCGATTTTCCACGGTGACAGACGAGCGCTTGCAACGACAGCTTGAAATTCCCGTAGATTGGGCCATCCTCCTCGAGACTGTCGTCCTGGATAAAATGCGGGAGACCAATCTCCGTGGGGATATCGACGAAGGTATCGAGCCGGACCGCCTTCCCGCTGGCGAGCATCGAATAGCGCTTCAAGCACATTCCCAGAATTGGTCGCTTGGCCGAGAAGTGCGCTGCGACCTGCGCATCATTCGTCGGGGTGTTGTCGGTGTACCACGCTGGAACTACGTTAGAAAGGCGCATTTGCACACGGAAGTTGTAGACTCACGTATCAGGCTGAAGAATTGCCAGGCAGGCATCATCACCTCCTTCCGGAAAGACCCACGGGGTGGGCTTTTGACGGGGACGCCATCGATAGCCTCGCCGTCAGATTCCGGGATAAATCGCTCTTGCACGATGCTGTCCCGTCGCGTTCGGGACGAATTAGACCGTTCGACCTCCGCCTTCGACGGCATCGGCGTCGATTCGTCATTGCGCAAAAGAGCCGACTGCGTGGGCGATGGTGATAGGGGCGAGCTGACCTCAACTGCCTCCACATGAGTTGAGAACCCTTTAGACATAGACAAGGAGTCAGCTGATTTGACGGAATCGGCCGTGTTGTGTCGTTCGAGATAGCGCTTCACTTCAATCTTATTGTTGAAATACGACTCGAGGCAATCCTCCAAGGTGACGGCGGTCTGGCCCTCGCCTGGCTCGGGTATGGCAACTTCTAGCAGCCTTTCGTTGACGAACTTGTGATCGCCACTCTTGTCCTCTTTTCCCGTGTGATAGATGTCCATCTTCAGGGTTAGAAGAGGCAGCTCGAGTTTCTCCGTGATAAAAGTAAAGGCCTCCGATGTATCTTGCTGGCGGAGCTGAGCTGCCGATTCCCAGCCGCATTCCGCGAGAGCGTCTTGCAGGTGCTTTGTCTGCAATTTGCAATTAGCCAGTGTCTGATCGCATCACGAAACCTTCGGCGGCTACGTACAAGATCCTTTGTTATGAGTTTCCCTGATCGCAGCAGATTGACCCATAATCTCAACAGTACCGAAAGCTTTCGGCGGGGCTCGTCCGGAAAGGATGTGTACAAGATCGCCTCGAAGCAATCCAGACGAGCGAACATAGCAAAGAGAAGCGCATCGAGATAGCAAGTGACGCCCATACGGTTCTCTGCGCCGAGGAGTTTCGTACTTGGGGAGTATTCCTTGATTATGCCTTCAATTGAGTCTTCCAGAAGCAACAGCACCTCGAGCGCTTTGTCCACATCTCCTTGGGCGTGGGGCGAGTGTAGCGCATAGCTGAGATGTTCCTGTTTCAGATCCGTGACGCCGAGCTGCGCAAGACGCCGGTCGAGGAGTTTGATCTGCGCGTTTGTAAGAAGACTGCGCAGGCCGGAATCAGATAATATAGAGCCCTAATTACCTTCTTTGCATCCTCACTCGCGCTCTCTGTTGTCACGCTCGTTTGGCTAGAGAAAAGCCCGCGAAAGTGGGGACGGGAGAGGATGTTGGTAGTCTAGACCCAACATACTTATCAGTATCAGCCACAAAGCATCCTGACCTCGGTTCGAACTTTACCTCCTCATCCTTATTCCTCTTCTGTTTGCCGGTCTTCTCGCGTTTGGTCAAGAATCTATGGATTCCGCTCATCTTATGCCGTTCCACACGCACACCCCCAGAAAAAGTCAACGATGAGTAGGGAGATACAGGCGCCACCAGGTTGGTGGGGGGCAGAATCTTTAAAGGCGGATCGACATGTGCAGGGATGATTCAGGCTCCTGAGTTTTCATGGAGCACGCGAAGAATCCTCAAGGAAAGTCAAAGAGCACATCAGGTGGAAGATCAGAGGCGTAAGCCGTAGAGTAAATCCATACGTGTGATGCTAGGCTGCAGCGGCGAACACACCCAGTGACATCACATCTGGTGACCCTAGCAACGAATATCTGGAGATGACAATGGCAACCAGGTGAAAAGACCGTAATCACCAGGGCCGATGATGGGAAAGGTCGCCAACTTATCTAGCCAGATAACCATTAGGAGCGATCTGCAACGATCTCGGCAACTGACTGGTAGATCGGAGGGACACTGATGGCGGGGGGGAAGAACGGAGAAAGAGACAACTATCACCGAACTGTGGAGCTGGATTGCCTTTTTGGGCCATAGTTAATTGAGTGAGTGAAGGCGATGGGATTCTGACTAAGCGGAGGACCGCCCGTTGTGTGCCTGACTTTCGTGCCGTACCGTTGAGGCAGCAAGGCACCAGCGCCAAGGCATGCAACTGACTCCCACGTGACCTTCCACCCATCTGCATCTCCGATCCGCTTGATAATTTTTGGACGCCTTCCCAGTCACCACTCCCTCCCCATCAATCGTGGCCACGCATCTTTCATAGATTCCAATGGCTGCCAGCGAGTCTTCCCGATACCTGGCAAGGTCGTTGCCACGGGCTTTGGCCCAAAATGCTCGTCCTCTGGGCTTCTGTTGGCGTCGCAATGCCTCCAACCGAGCCGCTGACTTGGGCGATCTGGAGTCGGACGGCTCTCTAGCAACGGCACCCGTGTCGGAGGAGACGGTGAAATCATACGATCCTATCGCGAATTCCAAAGGGCGGAAGAAGCAGCTTCCTCGGAGTCGGTAAGTCGGTTGGAAAACGTTCCCGTCTGCTCAGGCGACTCCGTCCGGTTATTGATGAACGGCTTCTAGATATCAATTCCGTTCGCCCAAATACAACCGTGGGCCGTTACATCCTCACCAACCTCCTCCTGAATCCGACCCCTCCTCTCGACTATACGTTCCGGGCCCATTCATGCTGCCCAGAACCGAGCAGACGTGGCAGTCGACCGTCGCGTCCGACATTCTCACCCTCTGCTACGTCCACAACCCACCCGGCTTCAAGCCGCCGCCCAAGGCGCCCCGTCTGCGCTCCTGGGACGACAGCTCGCCCTACCACAAGAACCGTCAGCTGCGCGGGCCTCGCGGCGGTGACGTCCTGCGCCTTCTCCGCAAACCCATCACCTTCAACAACATCCCCAAGCTCGACCGCATCACCATCCACAGTTACGTCAAGGGAGCGGCGCAGGAGCACTCGGGCTGGATTCACGTGGCCGGCATGGCCGTGCAGGCTATCTCGAACGCGCGCGTCTCGACCTTTAAGTCCCGGACGAGTGTCGCGACGTGGGGGATCGCGCCGGGTCGCGACACCGTCGCCGTCAAGGCCGAGCTCCGCGGCGAGGACATGCACCATTTCTTCGGAAAGCTGGTCGACGTCGTCTTGCCCAAGGTCAAGGACTGGGAGGGTGTTAAGGGAACCAGCGGTGACAGCAGCGGCAACATCACTCTTGGTTTGGAACCGGCTCATGTCGCTCTCTTCCCGGAGATCGAGGTGAACTACGATATGTGAGTTTTCCTGGTTTTCTTTCTATTCCATGCCCTCTCTCTCTCTCTCTCTCTCTCTCTCTCTCTCTCTCTCTCTCTCTCTCTTTCTCTCTTTATTTTCTCGACCAGTCAAATCATCTAGCTAACGATGAAAAAAATAGGTACCCCCCGAGAATGATCCCCGGTGCGCACATCACCATCCACACAACCGCCGACACCGACAAGGATGCCCGTCTCCTTCTCAGCGCCATGGGAGTCCCATTCCACGGCAAACTGGTGGACTAAATTAGAAGAGGAAAGGAAAGATCACACGCACGCATTGCGCATTGTATACAAGAGCGGGAAGAAATTTTCATGCCACACTGATTGATCCGTGTCATCTTTTCCCCATTTTTCTTTTTTCCTTTAGCTTCTCTTTTTGTATCCCCCTTTTTAGTCCTATTCATCAACACATGTAAAATACACTCTGATGTTCCTCCGATTTGCACAGACAGACAGACAGACAGACAGACAGACAGACATTTCAAATGATTTCGAGAAAACCAGTCGGTCAGTGATATTAAAGCAGAATGTACTTGTATAGATATATGTATGCTTTTTTTCATTTCATTTCATCTTCGAGTCGACTCGACAACAAAACTCTCTAGATAGATAGGTAGATAGATAGACCTGGGGAACCAAACCCGGGAAAAAACAACGTAGACAGCGCCTTTTTTTTTAAGGGTGGGGGGGTAGGAAGTAAAAACCCGCCAGGGGCTTTTGATGAGAACGCTCATGATAAATAGGTGACGGATGAATGGGCCCAATGGTAAGTAGAAGTAGGTAATAATAATGATGATAAAAATCATGATAGCCAAGTCCCAACGCAAATCAGATCAGATCATCTTCTAGTTTGGTTCCGCTGAGAGCATGCGTCTATTGCAATTAACTAGTGCGAGCAGCAATAGAAATCCTGAGGGCACGTTGCGTGGTTTGAAAGATCCAAAACATAGCTAGTAAGTAGAGACGTCGTGGGAAAAGGGGGGGGAGGGCTCCAAAATAGACTGACTCCGGGGTATTCAACTGAGATTTCGAACGATGGTGGGGAAGGAAAACGTTTGAGACATGTCCTCGTTATAAGAAACAGAAACAAGAAAGGTGGAAAATGAAAAGGGAAGGGAAAGGGAAAGCCAGACGGCTTAGGCCTCATGCGATGGGAGACGCGAGGAATTGGCTTTTGAGGAGTTCATCGGCGTCGGGTCGCTGCTCAAAGTCCAAGTGGAATGTCATGTCCAAGAACGCGACGGCATCCTTGCTGGCATGTTCGGGGGCAGGAGGCCTGGCCTTGTTGCTGCCGATGGCGAAGATGGCTTGGAGCTGACTGCAGTCGGGGAACGGATGGGCGCCGATGAACATTTCCACGACTAAACAGCCGAGACTCCAGATGTCGGCCTTCTTGGTATGGTGCGTCTGGCGGACCACTTCCGGCGCCATCCAGTATACACTGCCCTGCAGGGAGGGCCGGTGCAGATGGCCGCCGCCGCCGCTGCCGCTGGCTCGGGCGCCTAGCAGCGTCGAGGCCTCCACCCGCTTTGAGATACCGAAATCGGAGATCTTGATACCGCCCTTATTGTCCACGAGGATGTTGGCTCCCTTGATGTCACGGTGGATGATATCGCGGCTGTGGAGGTAGGAAAGGCCAGCCAAGATCTGCCGGACGAAATTCTTGATCAACGGCTCCTGGAACGTGTTGTACTGCTTGAGCATGGTGGCGATGGAACCACCAGGGACGTATTCCAAGAAAATGTTCAGGTACTGGTCGTCAGCAGTGGTGCCCAGGTATTGGACGATGTTGTCATGGTGGAGTCCCTGTAGGAGTTCAATCTCGTGCTTGAGGGCCGTGACCATGCTGTTCTTGCGCTTGTCGAATTCCGTGCCCTTGGTGGCCGAAGGGATCTCGACTTGTTTGACGGCCATGAGCTCCCCCGTGATCGCATGCAGGGCGAGGAAGACGCTGCCGAAGGAACCCTCGCCGATCAGCGAGCCCTTCATCCAGTTCTTGGGGGCAAAGTTGTTCCCGGCCAAGAAGTCATTGAGCCCGTCATCCTCTTCCTCGCCGTCTTCAAGCACCAGCACACTCAGCCGCTCATTGAAGGAGTCCCCACCGTCGGTGGCGGCGACGCTGGCATTCTCGTCGATCAGGCTTTGACGGGACGTGCTGGGATCGTCGGAGCCACTATCAAAAGAGACGTATGACTTGCGGTTCGGCTCGATGGGTGACTCCTCCTGCAGAGGCTGGAGGGAGCTGGAGGCAATCGAGTCCCGGTAGGTGGTTTGCGGGAGACTAAACTTGGAGACGGAGAGGGGTCTCTGTGGGCGACCCTGCGACCCGGAGCTAAGCCACTGGTCCGCAATGCTGGGGATCGGCGGGGCATCACGCAAGCTCGCATCTCGCAGGCTGGAGGCGTAACTCGCGTTGCTCATCACACTGACCCGGCTCGCCGCACGACTCAAGCGCTGCGACCGGCGAACAGACATCCGCATGGTCTTCTCGATATCCTCCCGGTGGTGGCTAGGGAAATACGACTGGATCTCGTGGATGATCATCTCGCTCGGAGGACGCGCGCCAAAGAACGACCGCAGTTTGGAAACAGGGTTGCGTTCCGTCGCGGGAGGCACGTCCTGTTCCCCGTGCCGGGGGGCTCCCGGCGACAGGGGCTTGTTGATCTTGTACCAGGACTCGCCCGTCAGCTGTTGAATCTTATCTCGGTTGCGCATGTTGGAGCCGCTCAGCGCATTGAGATGGGCGTTTTGGCTCTCGTCAAGCGCCAGCTGCGCCGCACGGCGGAGCTCATCGTTATCCGGTTCGCCCGCATGGATCTTGCGCAGGATCAAGCGCCCTCGTTCCCAGCGATGAGCATTTTCACAGATTTCCATCAGTTCGTGATCAGCCAGTCTCCGGCAGTGGGAAGGCTCGGGGTCCAACCCATCCAGCACGTAGAAACAGTAGTTGCGGTATTGGTGTTCCGGAAGCTGCAGCTTCTTAAGAACGCAGAGGATCACCTCATCGGCCGTCTTACAGTGTTTGATATTCAACACCTTGGTCTGTCCGCCGGTGTAGATAAACCGAATCACGGGCGTGTTCACTGGCAGCGGTCCCATCGTCAAGCCGTCCAGACTCGGGTTCTGTCGCAGGTGGCTGGGGCCACGGCCTGCTTCGTTCGGCGTCCCAGGGTGGCGGCCGGAGTTGGAGCCTCCGGATGACGGTTGGCTGAAATAGTCCTTGCGCGCGCTCTCTAGCGGGCTGGCGGCGTATCGATGAGGGCGCAGGGGTGATCCCGGTCGCGACGATGGCTTGCCATTGGGATGAGCATGAAGTCCTGAATCTGTCGGGCGGCGACCGATCGGGGGGGCATAGCGGGGATAGGTTTGCGAATTCGTGTAGACGGCTTCCAGCGCTGCCAATTGTTTCTAAACAGAGGGGGGTTAGAGATTATTCTCACCCCACGCAACCCCGTTTTCCACGTACCATATTTTTCTGCTTTCGATTGGCAACCGACTTGTTCCGGATTTGCTTAATAGCGACAAAGATCCGGACGCGATCGCCAATCTTCTTGATGCCCATCTCCTGAAGGATTTTCTGATCGCATTCCATGAGGCTGTTGCCATCAAAGTTGTTGGCTGGGAAGGAAAAAATCAGTCCCCACTCGCAAGAGGATCGATGAAGTCCCATACCTTTGAAGAGCGATTCATACTGGCTGCAGTTGATGCTGTGAAGCCACGAGATAACTTGCTTTTCATCCCAGGACCTGACCGACCGTTAGCCCATGGCTCTTTCTCCGCGTGCGGGGAGGTCGTCAATTGCGCAGTCTTACCGGACGGCCTGAAGCCCATCGTGTACATCCGAAAACTCCGACTCCGTGGGACTCATGAAAGCCATCCCATCCTGTGATTTTCCAAAGATGGCTGATTTTTGGGCCGGGCCCAGGTGGTAGGAGGTGGTTGGAGTCTGGGTCGGAGGCATCGCCAACGGGGTGTAGGGGGGTTTGGAGGTGAGCATCTTGCAACAACGGCGAGAGCAACCGGGTGTAGTTCGCTTCGATAATTCCCTTGATATTCAGATCTATCGTGGTTTTCGTTTCTCTTTTTTTCTTTTTCTCCCTTTTGTCGAACAGAGAAGTTTGTCCGACGGTGCGCAAATAGGTCCCGATCGATAAGATTCAACGTAGGCTAATTCATGATCCTAAAGTACGGAACTACGCCTATTAGTCCATGAACCGATGCGGAGTCCACCCGAGAGTGAGGGGATTGCATATTGTAGGGTCATCCCAGGATAAGAAGGGACGTTGACGCGGTAGAATCCAAGGGTCTTGATTGTCTCCCATACCGATATCTTGCGGTCCGGTTGTCCGATCTCGACTCCCTGAACCAATATTCCAGTCCTGTATGTTCTTGTAGCGATAGTACCACCGTCACCGTTCCCTCCTAATCGGGACTCCACCAGGGAAATGCCGAGGGTTGAGGATCAACAAAGGGTTCTAACTCGAGGTGGTCGTGATGCTTGAGGGGTTGTTTGCCGGATGGGTGGGGAGAAGGTAGAAAAGGAGGACGGTAAAGGAGGGGGTGGGAGAAGAAGGAAGGAAGGAAAGAAGGAAGAAAAGGATCGGTCTGACAGGCGCGTCAAGACTCGAGAGAGAAGCCGTATTAAGAGGTGTAGTTGGAGAGAGAGCGAAGTGGGTTGAACTCCGACCGATATGCGGTTCGATGTGCGTTTCTCAAACACGCCGCGGACCATGATTTGTCAACGCCTGATCCAACCTGATCCAACCTGAAACAAAGCCAAACCCCCTGTCAACCCACAGATAGGATTCATTCGGGTCTAGGGTATCAGACAGAGGAGACGGATTCTCCGTCTATTCTTAGTCTCGCGTCCCGCTTTCCCTGATGGCTTCATGGTGGTGTCCTTCCATGGTTCTTCGCCTTGGTCCTTTGTTTCTGCTTTGTTGCTTCCCCAGAATTCTTTCTATCCTGGATTCTCAAAGTAACTTCGTGACTAACTGTTGGTTTAGGATGTGAGGCTTCTGGTTTACAACCCCTCCATCATTCGTGGATGGTTACCATTGGTTGGGGGTGATTCATATGGTTAGGTGTATATGTACGGTTTTCGTGCCCCATCCCCGGGATCCCGATCAAGGGAGAATATGAATCTATTCAATACTACCTGCTATTAATCCCGAACGTTTATCAATGACTGAGACCGGGGGTCCAATCTACTAGTGTTGGTTCGACAAGCCGGTCTGAAACTTGCAGACGACGGCCAAGTTCCAAAGCTTCAGGACAAAGGAGACACCGTTGGGAATCTCAGTCCATGTCACATCCTCCAATCAACATCTGCATCGTATTAAGCCATTGCGTTCGGTGTGACGTTGGTCATCTGTCCATGCCTTTTCTTCTCTCCTTCTCTCCCCCCCTTTTTGTCTTTCTTTAACGTCTCCGGTCCGGTGGGGTTTGTTGTACCAGACCCGGGTGGAAGTTCCCCATCCAGAATAGGCCTGATTCCATTGTAAGGATGACCTGGTGCATATTTCAGCCGCAGTGATAAGGGGAGAAACGATTCAACCAGGGAGGGCAAAAAAGATCAAATTAAGCCTTCCCCTAGTCAGTCCCGTCCCCTGCACTGAAGAGGAGGAAGACTGGTCTGGTTGCTAGGGTATCAAAGCGCAAAAACGGGTCAAAACCTCCCCCCAACTGGTCTGAAACAGTGTATTCCACCTCACCGAATGGACACCCAATCCGCCCCCTTGCAGGTTGAAATCGGGTGTCGGTGGGGGGTATTCCAGACGGAAAGATCTCGGGGATGAAACCCGATCTGGATGTTTATTTTAAGGCCACCAGAACAAAAATTGGGCGGCGATCGATGGGATGACTCCTGTACCGACGGGGCACTACGGAGTACCCAATCCTGCAGTCACATATTAAATACCCCACAGATGATAAATATACCCAAAACTCGTATGCGACAAGTCCCAACCATGACACGGAGTACGGTGATGTGTAATGTCACCTGAAGGGCGTAATATTGTCCGTCTCACATTCATCATAATTGTTGGGTTGGATTTTACTTACGTCTGAGCCCTCTTAGGGTTAGAATGTATCTTACCTTGGTTGTTGTTGGACTAAGAACTATCAAGGGGCGAGTTTGCAACACACCCTAATATACAAGCTATTGTCTCTGCCGATTTAGCTATACAACGGTCGAGCTTATGGTGTGACAAATGTTGATATTTATATATTGCTGTCATACGATAAAACAAACTCCTCTCTCCAACATAGCCGATTTTATCCACCAATCCCTGCTTCTTTGTCGCTGTCTGATTACCTCGATCTCGCTTACGAAGAACCGGCAGAGGATATTCTCGTCCATATACAAAGCGCCATGAATAGCGGCTTTTAGGAAGCTGCAAAGCGGGAAGCCAATGTTGACCGAATTTGAGATCCGATGTGTGGCCATACCCTCGACCGTCACCATTGAGCCATGGATAGATAGATATCCACTCTCTAGATGACTACTTCCAACGCCCGAGCTTCATCATCTTGCATATGACGGTTGACCCGCATCACGACGGATGAACAAGCGAACTGACGCGGAGAAAGCGTAGCAAAGCCACGTCCATGACTCTGTCAGAAAACTGCATCTCCGCACCAGTGGGGAGAGCGGAGGTTATCAGTATGCAGGCTCAATCCTGTTCAACCTAGTCTCGTGCGAGGGGTTGCCAACTCATCGACGAGGGATGATAACCTAGATATTAGAACAAGGTAAGAACCAACGACGTAGGCGGAGACACCAGAGAGCAGTTCAGATGCCGCTAACACAGTCGATTTATAATGATCAATCTGATGTCGACTGTAGCACTAGTCCATTGTAGTGTGAACAGGGTAAAGAATGAAAAAAAGAATGTAGATGGTCGGGCCCCACGTGACTGGACCGCGCAAAACCCCCCTCACCCGACAACCCCACAGTCTTTCCTTTCCCCGCTCGTCTACGATCCCATCGTGAGAACATGCCCCAATTCCCCGGCCATCATTAATTCGCCATGGAAGACGATAGGTCTGCCCCGGGAAAAGTTAAGAAGAAATCGACTCCCGCCCATCGGAAGTCTCTGTCTTGCGAGTATTGCAGCAGGTCCTTTGCGCGTCTGGAACACCTCCAACGCCATCTCCGCACCCGTTGAGTAACCCTGGATGCCGTTCACCATCGCAATCGGTCCTTTTTTCGATCGAACAATCTGACTAATGCGTGCTTATAGACACCAAGGAGAAGCCCTTCACATGTGATATATGCTCCAAATCGTTTGCCAGAAGGTAGGCTCATCCCCTCCCCAGGTGGACGTGTAGGGGGATGAGAGATGTCGCGCTAACCCAGAGGGAAAAATTCTTGTAGCGATCTACTCGTACGACATGAACGTCTAGTTCATCCGGCTGAGGCTGCAGTCCATCGAGAAAACCGCAATCATCACTCCCATGAAGTGCCCCAGACGTCACCGACGATCATCCAACCGGTCCACCATGAATCCCGCATGCTAGAGCTGGCAGATGCTATTCCGATCCAAGCACAGCAGTCCGTTCCGGTCCCGCCGCCAGAGGTGCAGGTACAACCGCCACCGATCGTGGAAAATCCCCCGTTCAATCACTCCTGGGGGTATGATCTAAACCTACTTTCCCACGCTGCGAGTCATGTTGCTCTTGAGAGCCAGCAGGAGAGCCTTGAATCGATCCGGAAGTCCTCCCAGCCTCAGAACGTGGCCGGCCCGCCCCAACCGCTCACCCACATCCCAGAAAGAGTCATCAGTGATAACTATGGCGTGGAGCCGTCCATCCTGGATCTCACCGATCTAGGGGACCCCGTTCAGGACTTTACGGTCTTTCTAGAGAGCGTTGGCCTCTCGTCGGACTGGGACTCGGGGGTCTTCTCCAGTGTCGAAGAACCGATCGTCCCCACGTCCCTCCCCATGGAGTCAAAAGCAACACCCCGCGACTCGAGACTGGGACCGGACATGATGAGTGATCCGCGGACGGCCGACGATCCCCCGTCGTTTTCGAATTTCGGCTCTCGGCTGCCATCTCTGCAACCCGAGCCACATGAGGTGGATGACCGCCTAGGGTTTGGCGATGACGGCCCCCGTCCCGCGTGGGATATATCCAATAACGATCGTCAAGTATTTGTGTCCAAACTCGAGGGGTTCGCCTATGTTCTGCCAAAGGGTTTTGTGCCCCCAACCAGACACGCCCTCTCCCGTTTCTTTGCCGGCTACATCAACGGCCTCAACGAGCATCTTCCCTTTATCCATGTGCCTACCCTCTCCGTTGCCAGGTGCTCCCCGGAACTTACCCTTGCGCTGGCTGCGGCAGGCTCCCACTATCGCTTTGAGAACAACCGGGGTATCGACCTGTTCCATGCGGCCAAGGCCATCCTGCTGGAACGGCTGCAGAGACGAGATAGCAAGCAAGTGGCCTGCCCGTCGTGGAACTTCTTATCCCCCCAATCGGGGTTTCATGAATCTCGTGACTCCTCCATGGTCTCAAACCATCCTAGCAGCCCCTTCCAATCACACCACTCCATGCCTCACCCGGTCGACCACGCAGGATACGCGCTGGAAGATTCAGATGCCCACATGGAAGTAATTCGAACCTTCCTGTTGCTCACCGTGTTTGCTTCTTGGGAGAGGCACCCTGAACTTTTGCGAGAAATCCTTTCCCTTCAAAGTACCTTGGCCAGGCTCGTCCGGGAGCATGGGCTGTCCGAGCCTCCGCCCAGTTCGGATCCCAATAACTGGGAAGATTGGGTACGGCGGGAAGGTAACCGACGCACCAAGCTGATCGTTTACTGCTTCTTCAACCTCCACTCCATCATGTATAACATTCCCCCCTTGATCCTGAATGCGGAGCTCAAACTGAACATGCCCTGCTCTCACGATATATGGAAGGCCAATAATGCAGTCCAGTGGCGACGGGTGATCCGCAGTCGGCAGCCCCTAGAGATCCCGTTTCAGGAAGCTTTTGCCAGGTTGTTCCTCAAGTCTAACCTACCCAGCTCGGCCGCGCCGATCTCACCTCTGGGAAATTACATCCTTATCCATGCGATCATACAGCAGATATTCTTTGCCCGGCAACTGTGTCTTTCCGTGCCGAACATGCACGGCACCAGCCTGCGACCAGAAGATTTGTCCGCCCTGGACAGCTCATTGAGCTCTTGGAAGGCATTGTGGAAGCGGACTCCCGAATCCAGCATTGACCCCCAGAACCCAGCCGGCCCGATTGCATTTACCTCTACGGCCCTTCTGGGGCTGGCCTATATCCGACTGCATGTGGATCTGGGGCCCTGTCGAAACCTTATCACTCAGGACCCGTTTCGGATCGCTAGGGCTTTGAATGAATCAGCCCCGATCTCCCGCAGTCCTCGTTTGATCATGGCCCTCCTACACTCTGCCCACGCCCTGTCGATTCCTGTGCGACTGGGTATTGACTTTGTGGCGAGGACCCATTCGTTCTTCTGGAGTATCCAGCACTCGCTCTGCAGCCTAGAATGTGCCTTTTTACTGAGCCGCTGGCTGCTTTTGATCCCGATGACCCAGGCGGAGCAGAGACTATCGGATCATGAGAGAAAGTTGCTCCTATGGATCAAGAGCATGATGGATGAGACCGACATGGCAGTTGATCCACCTGGGGCTCCGGACATGGATTTCATGGCCGACCCCTACAAGGTCAAGCAGTTGAGTGTCGCCATTGTGCGCGTGTGGGCGCGGACCTTCAAGGGGAACACGAGCTGGGCGATCGTCGACCTTGTCGGATCCAGCTTGGACGCCTATGCAGACCTCCTAGAGACCCAACTCTAGTGTCCGACCGGTCCTGGACAACTCCCCACGCTTCAATATTTCTTATTCGTTTGGTTTCTTATCTTTATCTCCCCGTTCTTTCTTGCTTGCTGATCGGTTGGTTTCTTTCTCTGGGTTTGGTGGATCCTGGATGATACACGACGTCTCTGTATACCCATGTTCGTTCTGGATGAGGTTTTTTTGTTATTCTCTCTGCCATGGAACTTTGTTCCTCTTTTATTTTCCTGTGCTGTATATAGTTCCTTTTTCACCCCCACCTATCTCTCTCTCTTGCGTTTATGGGGGCCGAGTATCTGCCGCGTGGTTATGGGTTTGCAGGCGTCTTCTCTTTTAACTCCTTTAGTTTCTTTCACGACCATCACAATACCGAATGGGATTGATTATATTTTGCTGCTTTTGTTTCTCCCCCTCTTATAATGTCAACGGCGTGGTTATGGCTCTCCGAGAGAAAAGCAAAGAGAACGAGGTTTAACCTGTCTATTGGCTTTACCACTGATTCTTACAGTATGGAATGCAATGCAATCTTTCGCGTCTTCTAGTATGGCTTAGTAGGAATAGCCACTACCCGTATTTATATTATATTATATGATTATCTAATAAAGAGGGCCAATACCCTCATGTGGCCAGTGCAGTCAGTCCTGCAAGTACATACACTGTACCCACCCCCCAAAACCCATTCACGACGCTACCCCAGATTTCGTCTTCGTCTTCGTCTTCTGCCTAGATACACTCGCCGGGACGAACCGCAACGCAGCCATGGATTTCTCCAGCTGGGAGACGCTATCTTCCTCAGTAGACTCAATCTGAGACGCTATCGGTTGCTGAGATGATTCCACGAGATGAGGCTGCGGATGCGGATGCGGACGAGAAAAAGGCGTCTGCCGATGCCGCAGCCGGCCTTCTTGTGGCGAGCTTGGGGGATTCGAGATGCGCCGTCTGTGAGACTGTCGTGGTCGTAGCATGGACGTTTGCTTGTCGAGTCCGTCGTTGACGATGTGGAAATTGTAGGTCTATCTTATCAGTTTGTCCCAATGCATTTATGTTTTATGTTCCGCCGGGAGAGGGGGGGAGGAAGCGACATACCTTCGGAAACATGTGCTTATCAATGAGATGCATCCTGCGCTTCTGAGGTGTCGAGCACTTGCGCTCGCAGTCTTCCACAAAGCAGCCGTACTGTTTTCAGTCAGCGATTGACCATTTACTATGAAATGGATAATTAGAAAGAGACAAATAAACACACCGTCTTCTCTCCCCTCTCCCTCTTCGCCGCAATCAACGGATCATGATTCTCCTCAATATGCAGATCCAAAAACCGATCCGTAGGGAAATTCTTCCCGCACTCCACGCAGCGGTTTACATGCGTCTGGCGATAATGAACCTCGTAGTCCTCATACGAGGGGAACGTCAGCGTCTCCCGATGTGGGGGCAGCGAACAGCGCATCACTTCGGCGACTGGGGCGTCGGGGTCCTGGAGATGGATCTTGGAGCGGCCGGTTGGGGAGGATGGCGGCGGCGATAACGACGCTCGGGAGGGAGTGTCGAGAGGAGAGTCGAGGGAGGGAGATCGAGAGCGTTTTGCCATGTTGGACCTTTTTTCTTTTCTTTTTCTCCCCGCTTCTTGCTTTCTTGCTTCGACTTGCTCGCCCTCCTTTGGGTTTGGGGGTTGGTTGATTGGTTGAGGGAGGTATTGTGGATATGTGCGTCCTGCAGCTGCAACGTTTTCTTGATGGGGAGGGTGTTTGGCTTGATTCTATAGTATTCACTCTGAGGTCGAGAGTATGATATTTGCGTAAGGTAGTTATGTCTAGTCGTAGTAATAGAAGGTCACTCGGGAGATATATGATATACTTCGGGATACAACAGAATCCATCGATAGAGATATAGATTACATCATAACGGCCGTACGTCAATTACATACCATACGGTAACCCAATACCGTACGATCAACGGAGCGGCACCAGCCACACCCCTCGACCAATCAGATCAACCTCAGCCACTGCGGGCGCCGGAATTCTTTTTTTCTCGGGGAGCCAAAAGTAAAAAGTTCCCGTGATATCTATCTGGATATCTTCGACGAGCGGCTTCAAACCCCCTCGTTCCTCCTTCCTCCATTGCTCTTGGCTTCATTATACTATCGCCAGTCTTGGTCTCTCAACGCTCTTAGTTTGATATCGCCGTTACCGCTGCTGCCGGCGCTGCTGGCACTCGTCTCGCGCCCCACCCTAGAGATCCCGTCCGCTCCTTTCGCCATCTCTCTCATACTGATGGATCGTTCACTGCTCTCGTCGCCCGCAGACTCTCAGCCAGCGATACCCATTTGACGGGCAAAGTCAACGGTGGAGTGACTCGGGCCTTGCTCTCACTGTCCTGATTATGGCGTCCACATTCCAAACCACGTGCCAGTCAGTCTTTCCCACCGCTGGTGTTGTGTTCGTCGGGGACTCGCGTTTACTAACTTCCCGCTATGTATAGGACTGCGTTCGACGCCGAAAAGCAGCTGTTGCATTGTCTTGCCGAGAAAGAGCCTACGTTTGCTGAAATCTCCCATTTCCTATCGGAGTGAGTCCAATGTCTTGTCTTGATCCGCCGTTCGATCAATCCTTCCCGACCCCGCGCGCATCGCGCTGACCCGGCTCCCTTTCGTGATCGCTAGGTTCCGCACGGCTTGCCTGAACGCCATTCTCCAGGATTTTGGTGCCGCTCGCTCCACCGACGTGGAAGGCCGTCTCTGGGATACCCATCTCAAGATCAACAATCGGTTCCGTAAATTGCTTTCCCGCGTAAGTGTCACGCATCCTTTTTAGTCCGATCCGGCGTCCTAATGGGGTCGGCGCACAATCCAGTTTCGCGAGGAAAATGGAAAGAAGAAGAAACCGGTAGAGCGACGGAAGCTCGAGAAACACTACTTGGAGTTCATCAAATCGAGCCAGCGGTTTTATCGCGGCTACATTCAACAGTTGTCGTCGCATTTCGGAGGTATCTCGGAACTCGAGAAGGTTGCCCGGAAATTCAACTTTGATAGTGAGCTAGCCTCCTCCTACCGGCTTTCTGCCTGCGCTAACTGAACTGTCCCTCTTCCAGGCTTGTCGGCAGATTCCCCGCTTCGAGCATCAGGAGACCTTCGGAAGCGCATCCTCCAGTCATGTCACGCCACCCTTATCCGCCTCGGCGATCTGTCCCGCTATCGCGAAACCGAGCTCACCAGCAAGGACCGCAACTGGGGCCCTGCGATCGGCTATTACGACTTGGCCGAGGCGATCTATCCGGCCTCGGGCGCCTCCCACAACCAGTTGGCTGTCATTGCCCTGGCCGACGCCAACCATTTGAGAGCCACATATCACATCTATCGGGCGCTGGCGGCGCAGGAGCCCCACCCATCCGCCCAAGGCAATTTGGAGATCGAGTTCAGAAAGGTCAGGAATCTGTGGGCCAAGAGGGAGCTGATCCGTCCCGAGGATGCCGGCATCCCTGGCAGGGCACTGGCTCCCTGGTTTGTATACTTGCACGCGCAGTGTTACCTAGGAGTTGATTTCCCCGAACACGACGAACTGGAGAGCGAGGTTCTGAGCCAGCTTGCTGTCGACCTGAAGGAACGCTCTCTCGAGGGCACTTTGCAGAAATTTTGCCTGATCAACATCTCTGCGGAAGACTTCTCCCGGAAGCGCTCAGCAGGTAAGTTCTTCGGACACTGCATCTGCTAGACCCACCATTAATCTCAGCGCAGAAGAGTCGTCCAATGCGCGCTTCTTCTTCCAGAGGATCAACGTGAAGACGTTCTTCATCTTGCTCCAGATCCTCCTTGCGGAAGTGGAACGGTTCGCGGGCGAAGACGAGTCCAACGGGGAAGAATCCGCCAATGGAGCCGATAAAGTCACTGTGGTTGCGCGTCGGGTTCTGCCTGCTCTGCGTAACTACAGCTCTTGGCTTCTCACCGTGAGCAATCTCCTGGTCGCATACAAAGAGGAAAAGGACACGCCACTTGCGGTTCAGATCACAGAATTCTGGAAAATATACGCGAACACGTTGACGCTTCTTGCGTCCACCTTCGACGTCGTTCACCTTCCTGAGATCGATTACCTTCTTGAGGAGGACGAAGAGACCTTGCGTTTTACGCCATTGAACCAGGAGGCGACGTCGCGGAGGTACTTGGACTCGAATGGCCAGCAGAAGCCTCAGATGGACGACCCAGGGGTGGAGAGAAACCATCCGAATATCGAAATGTTGTACCGAATCCGAGAGTTTGTAATTGACGGCTTGGACCTCGTCGTGAGCAACGTATGCATTCAATTTTCGCTTGTTACAGGATCTATTTTTTAACCCATACTGCAGAAAATACCTATCGCTCTGGTGGACGACGAAGACAAGAAAACGTTTATTTACCAAGAGGACGGGCTACCTTCTCAATTCTTCGCCAGTCCGTCGGGCCATCCCCATACGCTGCCTACGACGAACATTGAACGCGACGATATTCGACAAACGATACAGGATCCAACTCCAGAAAACCGAAGCGCCTTTGGTGGCTCGCAGTCGGCCTCGGTGTCATTGTCCGCTGATATGCACCGGATTGTCGAAGGGGTCGAGCGCCTAGTCGAGTCTGACACATACGAAAACGCTCCGTCTCCCCCAACGCCATTGCCTTTCTCGCGTGGTGGCGGCAGTGTCCAGCAGCCCGCGTCTAGCCGTATATTTGACCCGAGCACGGAGTCGATCTTCCGGGAAGAGATCATCCCTCGCCAGACGCCTATCGCGCCTCCTGGGCTTGGGAGCGCCTTGCCAAACGCAGCCACAATGGCGCGGACTCCATCGGCTCAATCGTACTCCTCGCGGCCTGCTTTGCCTGGCATCCCTAACATCTGGAGCACGGGTCTCTCGCCCCATCCATTTGGCGACACGTCAGCCCCACGAACCCCATCAGGCCTCGGACACCCCCCAATGAACATGATGCCGCCGCCCGGCATCAGCGCCCCCGCGCATCAACACCCATCGTCCCAAGGCACCATCGCCGACGAACTCCTACTCCGACAGAGTCTCATGAACCAGGCCAACCCGCAAAGCTCCCTAGACAGCTCAAGCTTCCTCTCATCATGGATGTCCCCACCCAACCCCATGTCGCACCACCGTCGCGTGTCCGGCATGGGATGGGACAGACCCCTAGATGGCCCGAGCCCCTCCCAGCAAATGGGACTGCCCAGCCAGCCGCACTCGTCGGGCGAGTTCTCGCATCCTTCATGGGCCAACGACGCCTTCCTCGCCCCCACGCTCTCCTCAGGCGCAGGATACCCCAGCTCCCCCGGGTTCAACAACGGAAGCCGCAGACCCACGACCCAGTACGGCGCAATCGGCCAGACGCCCCCCTGCGGACATGGAGGCTGATCTCGGACCCGCTCTGCCCTTTTTTCTTCTTCTCTCCAGTAACGGCGGACGGGGACGGGGGGGTGGGGCGCATGGGGGGACTCAAAGCAACCATCCCCTGGCAGCGTTCGAGCAGTAGAAATAGACACACGGGTGTGTAGGACATAATCAATCACAAAACCGCAGCAACAACGACAAGAAAGAAGAAGAACCCGTCTTTTATCTCCGCAGGTGGACAACCCTCCCCCTGCGATCATTTGCTTTGCTCCTTACCTGCTGGCTCTCCCCCGTCTGTCATCTCGCCGATCGAGTCCGCACCAACAGTGTCTGTCTTATCACCAGCCGTCCAGTGTTTCAACAGCGCAGCGAAGAATATAGCCATGGCTACTTTTTATCTTATCTACCTCGCTAGCTACCTAGCTAGGTATTTAGTTAACACCCAAAAAGACGTGTGAGGGAAGAGGAAGAGGATGAGGAAAAGGGAGAGGAAGAGGAGGATATGGGGCTCAGATTGAAGAACCCAGGGACTTATGTCAACGGTTTATTCCTTTCTTTATCCTTCCGTTCCCCGTTTCTCTTTCTCTTGCTCTTGCCACCGTTTATTCGCAGAATGTGACGTCCTGGCGTGTGTCGATGGATGGATGATGGATGCATAATGGACGAACGAATCAAGACGATCGATCGATCATCGATAAAAGATTGAAACTGGATGAAAATGGATTTCAACCCATTGAACGATTGATTGATGTTTGATTAAGTGTTTAATTGCTGATTAAAGATTGTTTGGGAAGAATGACCACAGGATGATGTTCGTCGTAGACAGATGACTCTGAATCCTCCAAGTCCCGTAGATACACGGCCATTTTCATGTCTATGCATGTCTAACAGAGCCTGGAGGAGTTATCAGGGGCCCATTGTTGGCTCGTTGTTTTGCGCGTTTCTTGGCTCTCTTTGTTTATTACTACTATTTCTTTTTCTATCATTTCTTGCTCCTTTTTCTGTTTTGCTCATCTGTTGGTCCGTCTATCTTTCTGATACTTGTGGTTCAATTGGTTACCTCACATAGCTTGAATTGTCTCTACTTCTTCGTTTGAGGCAAGTGTATCGATTATAGGTCAAATCGGTGGGCTTCTCTTTGAACTGTGTCCTACCGTCCAATACTACAATACTACAATACAATGTTAAAATCAAAGTCCGATATATTGATCGGTTCAATTATATACATCATTAGATTCGTTGTTGAGAACGTCATTGCCGCGACTCCTGTCCATCTATCCTGTGAACCCATCGTGTTTCTCAAGGTAAAGTAAACGGAGCACGCTTCTGTCCCACAAATTTGTGTTGATGAGATGAAGTCTAGACGTTAAGTCAAGAACATATTGGGTATAAGAGGTTGAAAATCCTAGAGAAAAGACAAAAGAAAGGGAAAAAGTTCAAGCTAGAGGCTTGACTCTGACTCCGACTCCAGTATGGTTTGTGGGAAGGAGCCTGTCATGGGCTTTTAGAGTTTACTGCTTGGAGGGGGTGTAGGTCTTCTTGGGGGAGGGGAAACTGTTGTGGTAGCTCTGTTAGTTGCCGGTCGAACACTGGAATTGGGGGTTTAAAGGTGACATACGAAGGACCCAGCTCCTGGATGCTCTGGCTGGCGAGCCACTGACCCATGTCAATGCTCTCCTCCAGGGACTTGCCCTGCACGATACCGGCGGAGAAACCACCAGCGAAAGCGTCACTGCGACAATGTTAGTCCTGCGATTCCAGCTCCAAGAGGGGCAGAGAACTTACCCAGCGCCGTTGGTGTCGTTGATGCTGCTCTTGGGGATCTCGTGAACGTTGAACTGCTTCACCTCGACCTCACCGCCGGCCTTGGCGGTGGCGACGACGGTGGGATCGGTGCCCTGGGTGACAATGGCAACGCGGGGGCGGTTGGTGTTCTTCTTAGGCAGCTGAGCCAGCTTCTTGGCGATCTCGACGACATCGTCGGTGCCCCAGCTGTGGCTCTCGGAGTAGGAACGAGCCTCGGTCTCGTTGCAGAAGGTGTAGTCGGTGTACGGCAGAACAGTGTCGAGCTGCTCCTTGAAGAACTGGGGGATGAAGGGAGCGGACAGGGAGAGCATGAAGATCTAGTTGGGGTTTAGTTAGACATACTCTAGGACGTTGGGGGAGAGCAAACTGACCTTGTTCTTGGCAGCGGCCTCCTCACCCAGGGCCTGGATGGCAGGAACGCACACCGTCAGGTGGTAGCCACCGATGTAGTAGACCTGGGCCTTCTCGGCGAGGGACCAGATGTGGGGCTGCTTCAGGTGCTCCAGCTTGTACTCGTTGGCGGCAGCAAGGTGGGTGCACATGCTACGGTTGTGTCCGGTGATGATCACACCACACTTGCCGGTAGGCTGGGCGTCATCGACACGGTACTCGGTGTGGACACCGGCGGTGGTGCAGGCCTCCTTGAGGATGTCGGCGTACTTGTCCTTGCCGACGCAGCCAATGTAGCAGACGGAGTTTTCGGGGAGCATGTACTAGAGGAAGCATTCCATTAACTTTGATTGCACCTTGTTTTGGTTGAGTTGGGGTTCATACCTGGGCACCACGGGCAGTGTTCTGAGCAGCACCGCCAGCAATGAGCTTGGCATCCTTCTGGAGGAGCTCCTCATAGATGCCCATGTGCTTGTCCTCGGCGAGGATGGCATCGTTGTCCTTCAGACCATACTTCTCCAGGAGAGCAGCATCACTAATCAAATCAGTTCTAGTTCTCTTGAATGGGGTGGGGGATAGAGTACATACCCCTGAGCCTGGATGTCTATACCAAATCAATCAAAGCTTCACGTCAGCCAAATCTCCCGTAAATAGTAAGGTGTTATGGTGTCATGAATGGGGGAGGGGCAATCTCACGCACCCAGAAGGGGGTTCTCGAGGCAGAGGAAAGGATATCCTTGAGGGGCGGCCATGGTGAATGAACAGGAGGGAGGAATTGGGGATAAATTCGAGGTAGTTCAAGAAGAAGAGGAGTGAAGAGTGAGGATGAGGATGAGAAGGAAGAAAGAAGGAGGAAGAAGATGGGATGAGGAGGGGGAGAGGAGAGACAAGTGGGGGGTGGAGTCTTTTTTTCGGAGGGGCTTATCCTTCCTATAATACATGGGTTATGTAACTATGTATCTTATGTGAACCCAGCTTCTTTCTCTCCACGCTCCATTCGACTTCCGATCTACAACCTCAATTCAACTATAACTCCACCACCACACCATCCAACACCCCTTCTCGATATTATTCAATCATGACTGACCCCGCGATTCGGGTCGCAGAGACCATCCAAACGGCATCCATCAATCCCAATCCGTCCCCTGCCGACATCAATCCCCCGACCGCAGCCGAAAAGCACCCGATTCAGAAAGCTTCCTCCGAAGCTGACAGTATCCCTTCGGACATCGTGGATCCTCGACGGATGATTCAACCGACTACAAGAGGCCATACCCTTCCCCCGTTGCCCGACCTACGGTTTGAGCAGAGCTATCTCGCCAGCTTGCGAGGAGCCGACACCTGGGGACGGGTAGCGTGGATCACCATCAGAGACCAGGTACGACCACACGCTATCTAAGGATCGAGCTTTTCTTTTCTTTTTTTTCCTCCTCTTTCGTTCCTCTCGTCTATTCGCAGAACAAGGGAAACGCCGAACGAGAATCCATAAGTCAAACGATCCAAGCTGACGCGCTTACCTCGACAATCCAGGTCCTCCTCCCCTTCCTGCAAGGTTCCCTCTGGACACTGGCCCTCTCCGGCTGGCGATTCTGGAACCGCAACGCAAATCTCACCGGCCAGACCCTGGGCAGCAAGATCCGACGGTGGTGGTACGACGTAAACAACTGGGAACTGCCTCCCCGATGGGCGTCCACCCGGAAAGATCCCAAATTGGCGGAGCAAGTGCAAGACGTGAGTTGTCCTTCTCCATCCTTCTTCCCTTTTCCCTGTTTTCCCCTCTCTCTCTCTCTCTCTCTCTCTCTCTCTCCCCTCCTCGTCGCGACAACCGCAAACTCAATTCCCACCCATCCCAATGCGCCAGTACCAACTCACTCACTCATCACATCCATAGTACTTTCGACGCTGACCTCCAACGAGTTTCTACAGTTCTACACAGCGCAGTTCTCAAATGCAGGCGCGGACTGAACCCACAGCGAGCGGAGTGATAAATAACATACCTTGAAACTTCTCTCCCACGTCTCCCCTGTGGTAGATTCCCATCCTGCATTTCGGGAGTTCTGGTTACGTCGTTTCTCTTTTCTTTTCTGTTCCCTTGATTTACATTCTTGTTCGCGTGTTCAGCCAAAACCAACTAACTACTCAAGCCTCTCCAATGGCGGGCCTCGGACGGGCGATAATGTATATACAGTTAGCAAATGGGAAGCTCACATGGTTTTTTTTCTTATGATACTTATGTTACTTGAAACAACAGAACGTAAACACAATACTAGACCAAGAAAAAACATCCATCTACATCCTACCTAAAGTAACTCACACCAAATGCAACACACGTATACATTGATCCCTCCAAACCTCCTGGCAAATTACCGCCTAGCTATACCATACATACACACGCGCGCGCATCACACACAAACAGGTAGTAGGAGCAAAGAAAAACGCCCACGGAAACAGTGAAATCCATCAATCAAATGCCGTGTTTTTGCCCTCGTATACAAATAGAAGTGAATAAGACACCAACGCTCCAGCAAAAACAAATCTCTATCGGAAACATCAGGGTTGGGAAGGTAAGCCGGTTGATCCTCGGCGTTGTCGTGGTTCTATAAGAATAGAATACCGGGAATGTTAGGCTAGGCCGTCTCGTCGGGTTGGGCGACTGGTGCTGCTGTCGCGGTGCCAGGTTGAGGCTGAGGCGGCGTCTCGACTGGTGAGGCAGCAGGGGGATTCTGAGGCCGCGAAGGTAGACCGTTGGCTGCGGGTTGCGGTTGCGGTTGCGGTTGCGGTGGTGGCTGGACAGACTGAGAAGGCTCTGGCTGACCTGGCGCTTCTGGTTTGCTTTCTGGTCTTTCCTCTGACGGCTCCGGTGCCGGACTGCTGCGCAACTTACCCTTGCCGTACCGGAGCTGCACGACCAGGCTTTGGTTTTTATCCCCGATGACCATCGCGTCGTCTGTGCTGAGTTCGCCTTCGTCGTCCCCTTCGAACTCATTCTCCTCGTCGTCGTCCCCGCCGCCCTGCCACTCGTTCTCGCTCGACTGGCCCTCCTCGGCGTCGTCGTCCATGTCTTCGTCGGCGTTGTAGTCGTTGTAGCCGTTGGCTCGCGTGGCTCGCGTCCGCTGGCCTCTCCCGGCGTCCTCTTCGCCGGCTTCGTCTTCGCCCTGGCCGGTGAGCGCCGACGCGCCGTATAAACCGCCTCCGCGCGGACGGACCTGCCGCCCGCTTGCCGTGTACCGGGGACCGGAGGGCTCTGCAGGGGTGGAAACACCCGAGGTGTTACGGGTGGATCGGCGCGTCGAAGGCAGGCCGTCGGAGAAGATGTCTTCGTCGTCGGAGTAGGTATATTTCAACTTCTTCCCGCGCGTGCGGCCCTCGTATAGGGAGAAGCCCGGCTCCGGTCGCGAGAAGGCGGCTTTGCGGGCGAGGCGGTAATCGCGACGCTTGCGTTTCTAATTCCCAGTTAGTGGACGACGCGACGCAAGCAGGACGAGACCGTAGACTTACCTCCTCCGCGCCTTCGAAGCGAGGAATGGCATTCTTGATCTTCTCGCTGAGTTTTTTCGAGTTGGTGCTCCTCTCCTCTTCGAGCTTGGCCGCGATGGTCTCCAGTTCGGGGATGCTGCCCGCTATGCTCCACCAGGTGACATGCTTCAAGGCCGGATTGCTCTCGCGATACAGCCGGAAGTGTGTATCGTCCAGACCCTCGATGAGCCAGTATCTGCGCTTCAGCCCGTCGCGACCCCACGGCTGCACGGAAAGCGGCTGGTTCAAGTCGTCTTCATGGCGTGCTTGCTTGTAGGACTCCTTGATCTTGGCTTGGACGGCTTCGGACGAGGAGAGGGACCAGAGGATCAACGTCTTCAATAATTGGATCTAGAGAGGGTGTCAATAAATCGAGTTATATAATGGAGTCCAAAGTCGCGTCACATACGCGTTCATCTGGCGACATGGTTGCAAAGCTGCGACCTCCGTGGAGGGGGTTTTTCCCTTGCCAAGCCTTCGGCCATTGAGACACATGGGTATGGATTGCCTCCTCCAACGGGCGAGTATAGTGCATTCGACTGCGCGATGATAACGATAAGTCAGCTTCCTGTAGAAATAATGTGGCTGTAGGCCACTGGAACAGGTGAAAAGGCGATTGTTTCCCCGGCCGTTCGTGGTGGAGGTGATGATGGGGGGGTGGTGGCGTTCATACTCCACGTCCTTCTTCCGATTCAGCACCAAGCCCAGAAACGCACACAGCAATCGTTCGATATGATCTCCGGGTGTAGAATCCGCCACGCCTCTCTCAACATCCTGCGGACCAAAATGTGGTGTCGATCGAGGGAACACATCGGTGAAACGCGCGCGGAACATCACGATGAACTGGACGATTGCGACAAGTCAACCAACAGCTCCAAAAACGCAGGGAGACGCGACAATGAAGCTCCCGCCAGCTTCTCGAAGCTCAGATTCACGGAGAACTTACTGCGATATCTGGATTATCGGCCAGAACATATTCGTGCGGTGGTGAAGGCGCCCGTTTCGGCGGCGGAGATTCGGTTTCCTTCTTGAAGTACTTGTTAATGCCCACGGGCTCGTCGACGGCCATGGACCCCGTTTCTTCATCCGAAGGGGGTGCCGACGACAGCGACGAGAGATCTGAATCGGAAAGAGACATCCTGGCCGCGTTTCAAAGTGGTTTGGGCGAGGGTGGTGTGGAGGGAAGGTGGAAGTGGGCAAGTCCGCGCGCCGCAGCCCAAGGTCAAATGCGCTACTAGGGTTGAGGCGCGGCTTTTACGCGCCTCGTCTGTCTGCCATTATCCATAGCTGTCCGTTTCACGGTATGATCAGCACCCGTCCTCGCCCATGTGCTTACGACCACGGCCCTTTTCTCCGATTCGGCACTTATTTACGTCTTTTACTATCAAGCAGTTGTAAAAAAAGATATATTACCTCGTGTCCGCGTATTGGAGTGAACAAAGAAGACACATCTACGCAAAACCACAGCACGACAAACCGCACGGCTTCCTCGATCAGGAGATGTGGCTAGAAACCAGAGTATCTTGGGAAAACATCTGACTAGTATGGTGAGAACTGGTGTAAACGGCAGATTGAAGCACATGGCGAGCTGCAAAATCCGGGGTCATGAACGCTGAACATCCATGACACGACCGTATGCCTAAACGTCGGCATTGACATGGCAGCTAATGAGAGTAAGGACCAACAAATCCAATGGATGAACTTCATTTGTATCGTTCGGACTGCTGCGGCTTCCAACGACGCCCACTGCAATTCCTTGAAAGTCGGCGTAGAATGGTAGGACTGACGAGGCAAACTCGTTCACATTGTGTAAACCAGCATATATGTGGATATTAAATAGCTTCGCACAAGCTATTCAGGGGTATTTGTTTCGAACTCGGTCGGCACATGAACAGGGTGGTGATGAGAGATCTCAAGACGAGATTCAAAACATGTCTAGGTCACCATATCATCACATCGTGACAGGATTGTCTCTAGGATCAAACTCTGGGATGAAACCAGGCTTATCTGCAGCGACGACTTGACCGCGAATTATGGCACAAGGGCTGTTCTCGGATTGTCAATAAATGAAACCACTGGAGGAATGGAAAGTCATCATTCTGGAGTCGACACACGTAGTCCTTTGCAAATAGTCAGTATCAAAGCACACAGACAGAGCAATTCGAAATCTTTTGCGCGCCCATTATAGCGCTCCAACCCAAATACCGCGTCCTGGCGAGGGGTGTTATGGGAGAATCTATCGGGTATCAATCATACGGACGGAGTACTCCGTAGTAAGCTCGCCAAGCCCAAGATGCTTAGTCAAAGAGGGTTAACCGCAGCCGCAACACCCAACTCACACTAGCCGCGGATTGTGCCCAAAAGGCGCTAGCGCCAACTCGGTTAGATTTTTGGACTCCCGCCCTAAAGCCCACACAGCACACTCGAATTCTCTACCATCCAACCCGACAAGCCCATCTTCGATTAGAGGTACGACGAGCCCCTTTGATATCTCCCACCACAATCCCGGGTCGCTGGTGGTTTTCCTTCAACAAACTAACCCCAAGGTCTTCGTCTAGACAGTCGCCATGGGTCGTGTGATCCGCAACCAGAGGAAGGGCCGTGGCTCCATTTTCAGTGAGTGCGACCGCAATCTATCCTGAGCAAGACGAGAGGCGTGGAGGAAGAAAAGAACAAAACGAAGAAGAAGAAGAAGAAGAACAAGAACAAGAAAAAGACGAACAGGGAGAAGGAAATATCAAAATCTATCTTTCAGATCGAGAATTGCTGATACGAATTTTCGCTCTACAGCGGCCAACACCCGCCTTAACAAGACTCCTGCTCAGTTCCGTACCTACGACTTCGCTGAGCGCCATGGCTACACTCGGGGCGTTGTGAAGGAGATCATCCACGATGCTGGTCGTGGTGCTCCTCTCGCCAAGGTCCAGTTCCGTCACCCCTACAAGTTCAAGACCGTCACCGAGACCTTCATCGCCAACGAGGGCATGTACACCGGCCAGTTCATCTACGCCGGCAAGAACGCTACCCTGACCGTCGGCAACGTCCTCCCCCTGGCCTCCGTTCCCGAGGGTACCGTTGTCACCAACGTTGAGGAGAAGTCCGGCGACCGTGGTGCTCTGGGCCGTACCTCCGGTAACTACGTGACCGTCATTGGCCACAACCCCGAGGATGGCAAGACCCGTATCAAGCTGCCCTCCGGTGCCAAGAAGGTTGTCAAGAACACCGCCCGTGGTATGGTTGGTATCGTCGCCGGTGGTGGCCGTACCGACAAGCCTTTGCTCAAGGCTTCTCGCGCCAAGCATAAGTTCGCTGTCAAGCGCAACTCGTGGCCCAAGACTCGTGGTGTTGCCATGAACCCCGTGGATCATGTAAGGACTCCCAATATATCTTTGGGGCGTGTACAGTTACTGACCTGGTTTTTTTTCTACAGCCTCACGGTGGTGGTAACCACCAGCATATCGGTAAGGCCTCGACCATCTCCCGCTACGCCACCCAGGGTCAAAAGGCCGGTCTCATCGCTGCCCGGAGAACTGGTCTGCTCCGTGGTACCCAGAAGATCAAGGAATAAATGTGATACCGAGTGGAGTTTTTCTTTTCTTTGTGACGGGTTGAAAATTTGCTATGAGACATATGTACCTAGGCGACTGCGGATAAGCCTCCCACGCGCCCTTAGCGAATACAGGTTGTGGCCACCAAAATTTTCTTGATGAACGATGAAAAATAAAAGGGAAACAATTAGGTTTAACGTACACATGTCTGGGTACCCTGATAGTGATTTATAGCAAGTCGGCTTCGCTTGGTGGCTAGGTATGTAGTAGAGCACTGGATGGACGCAATGATCAATCGCTGTGTCTGGCAGAGTCCTTAATTCCCAGGCATTGTAGTAAATCAGTCATGCGCTGGTTTAGAAGGCATTGCATTCTGCAAGATCACGGCTGGGTGGACTTGATAGGGGGTTTGGTGGGTCATAGACAATTGATGCATCTCTAACCTCACTACTATGTATACTACCGAGGTAGGCATCTACTATTTACCACGGAGATCTGTATTGTGATCTTATACTTCGCATCCACAGATCCTATCTCCCGTGACTGCAGTCTGGAAGGCTCAATGCCTTGGTCCTCAGGCATGACATTGCGGTCAAAGTAACCAATCATAATGGATGGAGCCTCGGCCTTCGACTTCAATGCGTCAGTGCAGGTCACGGGCTGCATGGCGAACTTGCTTGAAACCCATCAATACCTCCAACTCATACCTGAACAATGAGATAGTTGGCCTAGCTCCTTATACTGGAGAAAAAAAATTAATCATATCTGACTGAGCTCAACATATCCCCCCACCCCATACAATGCCCCAAAAAGACTCGCCACAAAAGATCCCCCGCCTAACCAGCCCAACACCCGCAGCCCGCTGGCAAGCCGTCGTCAACAGAGACACAACAGCCACCACCTTCGTCTACGCCGTGCTGACCACGAAAATCTACTGCCGGCCCTCATGCCCCGCGCGGCTCGCCCGACGAGCCAACATCCAATTCTACGACACCCCCAGCCAAGCCGAGACAGCGGGCTTCCGGCCCTGTAAGCGCTGCAAGCCGCAGGGCTTACAGGCGGTTAACCCGCAGACGCGATTCATCGAAACCGCCTGCCAAAGGATCCGGTCAGCCATCAAGGACGGTAGTGCGCGGCCGACGCTCCGCGAACTGGCGGACGAGGCAGCCCTCACGCCTAGCCATTTCCATCGCGTGTTCAAGAAGATGACGGGCGTGACGCCTGGTCAGTACGCCACGTTTGTCGTCCACCGCGAAGGCAAACAGGTAATATCGCCGGATCAGGTGGGCCCGGATGGTGGTGATGGCGGTGGGAAGAGGGCGGCTTTGCAGCCTTGTGGGTTGCGTGACCCTCCGTGTCTCTCTGCTGTGTTTGACGACGGCGGTCTCGTTGGTCTTGGCGAGGAGGAGGGAGTCTTGTGGAATGACTTTGATGCTTTGATAGCCGCGGAGTTGGAGTATAGCTCCCAGCCGTGCGATGCACTGCCTCTGCCCCTAGACGGGGTTGATCTGTATTCTGCGGTTAATTCTCCGAGTACGGTGGCCTTATGTGATCTAGACGGCTTGGTCGACGGTCTGCCCCATCTGGGACAAGTCTCCGAGCCGCTGGTGTGATCTGTTTCGCGTGATGCAGCGTGTGTCTTTTTATAACTGTCTTTCGTTGGAGCGCCGGGCGTTTTTCGAGGTTTCGTCTATTCTTAGATATGTGGGTTTGAACTTCGGGGAGTTGGATCTTGTTTGATGCTGTGGGTTGGGTTTCGCGAAGCCCTGCATGGTACATGTCTATTGTGTGGGGAGGGGGGGGTAGTAATCCGGACAAACTACTTGAGCTATACTGTCTGTCCATGTTGATCCCTGATCTACGGATTCGAGCAGCATTGTTGCCACAATACCTTCTAGAAAATAGAAATTATTGATTTCTCCAGCACAAGATGCCAATACTGTATACTTCGGCATCTGTGCACGTCCCTAGTGAGCATCAATGCGGTGGGGGCACCGGGAATGATACCGCTTGATGACAATTCTTATTCCCATTCCTCCAGACTCCAGATTAAGGTACAATTGTCATCAGGGGCGACATTGTCAAATCACCCTTATCTTATTCTTAAAAGTTGTGAGATCATAACACCATCATGATCTACAAGCTGCATGTGGTCGACCATGATGCCACAGGTTAGTTAGCAGCGGGCGGCACTCCACACCTATTAGACACACCAGAGAAGTCAACCTCCTGGGTCCTATTGAATTACGAAACACCCTAATGACTAAGGTATCATTATGCTCTCTGGTTTCATCAACCCATTGGTCTCTTCAACGAAACAATGGAATCAACCGTAACTTTTGTGTCCTCCCCTGTTCTGTAAATAGCACAGAGTGTGTGCGTGTGTGGCAAGCAGCCTTAGACCAATCGCAAGGCATCCAACCGCCCCCACCAACGCGTGTCACTTCCTGCAATTGACCCTGGTTCGAAAAGATCCCTGGTCTGGTCTGGCCTATCAGTGATTCATTGCTCCAGGTAATGCAATATATTTCAAATTTATTATTATTATGGCTTACTGACTGGACCTACGGATACACAGGAAGTCCCATCGCTTTCGAATAACCAATGAACTAATATCTGACTTATAGTGTCATCCCACCCATGATGAATCTTGAATCTTGAGAATACGACTCCAAGACCATGCTAGATGTTTCAGGTACAAAACAAGCCAATTGCAGCGTCAATCAGTGGGGTCCTTTCTCGTCTCCACTCTGACTCCAATCCATGATCGATCCTCAACCTCCTACTCCTAGGTAGTAAGGTAGCTATGGAAGGGAAGTCTAGTCGGTAACAACAATAGGCAGGGGACAACGTTGCGCCCTGATCAACTTGGCTTGTGATTGATTGCTTCCCTCGCATTCACTTACATATGACACTTGTTTCCACGGTTCAGACTGCCCGGTTGTACAGACCATCCCTACTTCCATGGTCCCAGTCCCTTTTTTTTTTTGCCTTTTAGAGTGGGAGGTTCTGGTGGAGATGGCCTAATCCATCAATGGTGGTGGCGCGTTCAGACATGTTCCACCATGCCGGCTGGACGCTTGCGACAGGCTTTATTTTGATCATTGTTACTGTCCTCTCAGTCGTTCTTCAAGGGACGGATCAGTTTAAAAATAATAGGTATAAAAATATATCAAAATAGAATAAAAAGACAAGAGAATTATATAATTATATTTGAATATTATTATTTCCTTTATGATAATAAGAAAGGATCAAGAATACTCCCCACTCCGCTGTCCTCCATCCCGTCCCGGTGGTCAGTGAGTAAATACTATAATTACAATACTCAACTTATTAACTATTAACGTCTCATAATAACAATCATTCATCCGGAGCAAATAAAACTGGATCCCTCCTCTCCCTCCGACGGTCACTCATCACTCGAATCCATACCTATTAGAGAGTTTTCTCTCCCCACTTCCTCTCTTGTCGCAATCGCCCCCCGTCTACCGTCCTTTCTTCTTCTTCCTTGCCTTCCTGATAATCCCCAACCCCTCCTCACACATCTTCAATTCTCTTCCATCCTCCTCTCCAGACGAGCTGTGAAACTGATCTAGACCTTCTTTCAATTCATTCTTTACCACTTCTTTCATTCGTTTGTTGGAGACTAGACAACACCCCCCGCTATCGAATAAACACCACCCCCACCGCATCCGGCTTCTTGTTCCCACTCTTATCTGCAGGACAGATCCATTCCTCCCCACAACTCGAGAACTCGAGTCGAAGCTTCTAAACGACCGATTCGACCTACTCGGAATTTCAAAACTACAACATCCTCAATCCATAACAATCGCTCACCATGAACGTCAACCGCAAGTTCGACCGTTTCAGGCAATGGGCCGGCGAGAGAATGGGCGGCGAAGTCAAGACGAATCTCTCCGACAACTTCAAGGCCATGGAAACGGAAATGAATGTCCGACATGATGGTGAGCTTCATGAGTCCCCGCGATGCAATGGGGCCATCCATCGCTGACCGCTTCCCTAGGCGTTGACCGCATACACAAGTCGATGACTGGCTATGTCAAGTCCATTTCGAAACGCAACGAAGGCGATGACAAGGAGAAGACCCTGCCGATTGCCCATCTGGGCTCTAGTATGATTAGCCACGGGGAGGACTTTGATGGGCACTCCGATTATGGCCGTTGTTTGATCAGTACGTCATCACATTACCATATTAGCTACGCCAGTTGGTTGGCATGATTCTAACCGATGAACGATAGCTTTTGGAAGAACGGAGGAGCGCCTCGCGCGCGTCCAGGAGTCCTACATTGCGCAGTCGAACTCGAGCTGGCTCGAGTCGCTGGAGCGGGCCTTGACACAGCTGAAAGACTACCAGGTATGGTTTGCCAGCACATCATGCAGCGGTCCAACATATCTGACTTGTGTATAGTCTGCTCGGAAGAAGCTTGACAATCGACGATTGGCGTACGATACCTCTCTGTCCAAGATGCAGAAGGTCAAGAAGGAGGACTTCCGCATGGAGGAGGAGCTTCGAACCCAGAAGATTAAGTACGAAGAGGCCAACGAGGACGTGTATCGGCGCATGATGGACATCAAGGATTCGGAGGGAGAACATGTGAACGACTTGGAGGCATTTTTGGACGCGCAGTTGGAATACCACGAACGGTCTCGCGAGGTACTCTTGCAGCTCAGAAAGGAATGGCCGAGCAGGTACGTCGGGTCAACTCATGGAGAGAAACTCAAAGATACTGACGAATGGGCCAGCCAATCTGCCTCCTACCCTCCAAACGGTCGTCGCGCGGGACGCCCTCGTTCGAACACCGCGCATTCGTACCAGGAGCGCTATGAACCGGTGCAGGAGGAACTCGTCAACGCCATGGAGTCGCGACCTATCATCCGATCCAACCGGGAAACCTCCCCTGTCTATTCTGTCGACCCGACGCCGCAGCGACCGATTGCGGTGCGAACCTCCACCTTCGAAGGGCCCATGCAACTGCGCCAGGAGCAGGCATGGCCGTCCCGCACCGTCAGCGAGAACTACGGTCCCCCGCGGCCTGTGAGCCGGGTGGTCACCGACCCGTACATGGATCCACCCGACAGCGCCGGTCAGTACCGGTCGAATGGCGGCAGTCCGGACAGGTCATACTACGGACGGTCGATTTCGCCCACCCCCTCATATGGTGATGCCATGTCCCGACGGACCAGTTCGAACACGTTGAATGGGGCCACGCTGGCCAAGAAGGCGCCTCCCCCACCGCCACCGTCGCGCGCGAAGAAACCGCCGCCTCCGCCTCCGATGAAACGGCCGATCCTCAGTGCGACCGAGGTATAGGGGAGGTCAAGGTAGTGGGTTGGAGTTGTTTTGGCGGCAATCGGCGCAAGGGAAAAGGCACGGTGGGTGTTTTCAGTGGTGTACCGGCAATAATCGCGTGTCTGTATTTATTAGCTTCTTGACAGTAGATTGAACAAGGATCTGTGTATCGATTGTCAATAGTCGTCTGGTGCTGTTGATTGGTAGTGGTGTAGAGTGTGTGAACATGGCAGTAAGGTGTCTCAGAGTAGAGTACTAGATATATATATGTGTACTGTGTACTGTGTACTGTGTATGCTGTATGCTGTATAGGTATGTGATCTCTCGGCTGAGGACCTTGGGGCTCGGAGGTTCCATCTACCCTCGACCTCGACCTCGACCTCTTCCCCCCGACCCTTCCGAAGCAACAGAAACCAACATGAGTATTGTATTCCTATCGAGATTGACATACCTCCCTGCCAGTCAATCTTCATCTGCCTGGACGAACGTGACCTCCCAACGCGGTTAGCGCACAACCCATGAGTCAGCACCCGGCACGTCACGTGCGGGTGAAATCTTCTTCCCTCCAGCGTTTCTCTCTCGCCGCCTCTGCGTCTCTCTGAGTCTCCCTTCCGTTACAGACAAGACAGGCTGAAAGCACCGCCCAGTTTCCCCGAGAACCACCACCGCAAGTCGCGAAAAAGTTCCCCCCCCCTCCCTCCATCTCCATCTCTTCCATCCCGTTTCTCCACGCGATCTGGTCGACGCGATCCCCGAGACTTGCCCTCTGTATCTACCTTATTCTTTAATTTTCTCTCCGACCCTTTGTCCCTTTCCTTCACACCCCCCCTCCCCTCTCTCCTAGGTAATTCGTCTACCGCCCTGGGTCACGTTCTCCCTCTCGCACACCTTTCCATCTCCTCCTTCCCCCGACCGACCGACCCGGTCCAAAACATCACGAAACCTGTCGCCAAGGATCCGATCAGGACCAATACCGGTCGCATTCATCGACAAATCCTCCCTACCGTCTTTGAACCTCTGAAAATTCGCGTACTTTGTCGCCTACAACGCGCGACTCTTTCCTCCACGGTCGCCTCTCTTTTTTTTCTTCTCTTCTTTTGAAACACGACGTGTTGCGGTAAACTGCCGACATTGGGATCGGGACGTGGGATCTGGTTGCATCGCAAGTTGCCCGCACCGTGTCTGTTCAGCTTATGAATAGATCAACTGCGTGTTAGACTATGGCTTCCCTCCAGTCGGCTCCCAATATGGCGACTGGGAGCATGTCCTTGCCGGCCAACTTGACCCAGCAGCATGTTCAAGAGGTTCTTCATGTATGTCTTTCCCTTCCATCCACCCATTCCCTTCCATTTCTTTGTCGCGTCCTGCCTGACTGTCAATTGACCCCGTGGTTACATTGATGCATCGCCCATGCGTATGTGCTAATGAAAACCCCCCCTGCAGAAATTCAAACAGATGCAAGAACAGGGTGTTCGTCATGACGACCCCGAGTATGTCAAGGCGCAGCAACTCTTGATTGCCGTGCAACGACAGCAAGCGTTTCAAAAACAAAGACAACACATGGCCCAGCAGCACATGCAGGCTCAACAACGTCAACAGCAGCTGAATGGGATCACCCCCGATGCTGCCGCTGCCGCCTCAAATGGGATCAATGGTAGGCTTCGTCCTCTGTTTCACGTGCCTTCAAGTCAACTACTGACGCGACGTCCATTTAGGTCGAGCCAACTCCGTCTCTTCGGCCAACAGTGCTGTCCAAGATTCGTCGACACCGCAGCAAAAGGGCGCCCCTGTTCCCGGGGGGAGCTTCTCCCCCGAGCAGCTCAAGACCCTCAAGAACCAGATCTTGGCTTTCAAGTTGCTGTCCAAGAACCTTGCGATCCCACCGGGCGTCCAGCAGCAACTGTTCGCGTCCAAGAAGCAACAGACCCCTACGCCCGCGGACAACGTTGCCGCGGCCGAGTCCACCTTGGACAGCGCGTCCCAGGGGAAACGCGAGCAATCGACCAGTGCCCCCGAGGAGGCGGCCCAGACGAAGGAATTCTACGAGACGTTCCAGTCGCCGTATGAGCTGTTCCCCAAGACCATCAGCTTCAACGACCATGCGTCCCGCGTCAACCGTGCACGCGTCCCCGCGCTGATGCCCCCGGGGATTGACCTGGAGCAGGTGCGGGAAGAGAGAGAGTTGGTGGTTTACAATAAGATCACGGCCCGGAAAGCCGAGTTGGCTGCGCTGCCCGCCAATGTCGGTGTCTGGGACTCGGGTCGCAGTGACACGGCGACCTCGGATGACTCCCTCAAACTCAAGGCGCTGATCGAGTACAAGATGCTCAATCTGCTGCCCAAGCAGCGGATGTTCCGCAAGCAGATGCAAAACGAAATGTTCCACTTTGACAACCTGGGCATGACCGCGAACCGCTCCAGCCATCGTCGGATGAAGAAGCAGTCCTTGCGGGAGGCGAGGATCACGGAGAAGCTGGAGAAGCAACAGCGTGATGCTCGCGAGACCCGCGAGAAGCGGAAGCAGTATGATCAGCTCCAGGCCATCCTCAACCACGGCATCGAGGTCCAGAATGCGGCCAACCAACAGCGCGCCCGGATGCAGAAACTGGGCCGCATCATGCTCCAGCAGCACCAGCACATGGAGCGCGAAGAGGCGAAGCGGGTCGAACGGACTGCCAAGCAACGTCTCCAGGCGCTCAAGGCCAACGACGAGGAGACTTACATGAAGCTGCTGGGCCAGGCCAAGGATTCGCGTATCTCCCACCTTCTCAAGCAGACGGACAACTTCCTCAAACATCTCGCTGCGTCGGTCAGGGAACAGCAACGGACGCTGGCCGAACGATACGGAGATGTCGAAGATGACTTCTACGAGGAGGAAGAGGAAGATGTTGCCTCAGGGACCGAGGAGGAGGGAGGCGGCAAGGCCAAGGTGGACTACTACGCCGTGGCCCATCGCATCAAGGAAGATGTTACCGAGCAGCCGTCCATTCTCGTTGGCGGCCAGCTGAAGGAATACCAGATCAAGGGTCTCCAGTGGATGATCTCCCTCTACAACAACAACCTCAACGGCATCCTGGCCGACGAGATGGGTCTCGGCAAAACCATCCAGACCATCAGTCTGATCACCTACATCATCGAGAAGAAGCAAAACAACGGCCCGTTCCTGGTCATCGTCCCCCTTAGTACCCTGACCAACTGGAACCTGGAGTTCGAGAAGTGGGCCCCGTCGGTCGTCAAGGTCGTCTACAAGGGACCGCCCAATGCGCGTAAGCAGCAGCAGCAGCAGATCCGCTGGGGTAATTTCCAGGTCCTTCTGACCACCTACGAATACATCATCAAGGACCGGCCCGTCCTCAGCAAGATCAAGTGGACCCACATGATCGTCGACGAAGGCCACCGCATGAAGAACACGCAGTCCAAGCTGAGCAGCACGCTCTCGACGTACTACACTAGCCGCTACCGGTTGATTCTGACCGGTACCCCGCTGCAGAACAACCTGCCCGAGTTGTGGGCGTTGCTGAACTTCGTGCTGCCCAACATCTTCAAGTCGGTCAAGTCGTTTGACGAGTGGTTCAACACTCCATTTGCCAACACCGGCGGCCAGGACCGGATGGACCTCTCCGAAGAAGAACAGCTGCTGGTCATTCGCCGTTTGCACAAGGTCCTGCGGCCTTTCCTCCTCCGTCGTCTGAAGCGCGACGTGGAGAAGGATCTGCCCGAAAAGCAGGAGAGAGTCATCAAGTGCCGCTTCTCCGCGCTGCAAGCCAAGCTTTACCGGCAACTGGTCACCCACAACAAGATGGTCGTCAGCGATGGCAAGGGCGGCAAGACCGGCATGCGTGGTCTGAGCAACATGCTCATGCAACTGCGGAAGCTGTGCAACCATCCGTTCGTCTTCGAGCCCGTGGAAGATCAGATGAACCCGACGCGAGGCTCCAACGATCTCCTCTGGCGTACCGCGGGCAAGTTCGAGCTGCTGGATCGGATTCTCCCCAAGTTCCGGGCCACTGGCCATCGCGTCTTGATGTTCTTCCAGATGACGCAGATCATGAACATCATGGAAGACTTCCTCCGGCTCCGTGGGCTCAAGTACCTCCGTTTGGACGGATCGACCAAAGCGGACGACCGGTCGGATCTTCTGAAGCAGTTCAACAGCCCCGATTCGGAGTATTTCTGTTTCCTGCTGTCGACCCGTGCCGGTGGTCTGGGTCTGAATCTGCAGGCCGCCGACACCGTCGTCATCTTCGATTCCGACTGGAATCCCCATCAGGATCTGCAGGCCCAGGATCGTGCGCACCGTATCGGCCAGAAGAACGAGGTCCGCATCCTGCGGCTGATCAGCTCCAACTCCGTCGAGGAGAAGATCCTCGAGCGTGCCCAGTTCAAGTTGGACATGGACGGCAAGGTCATCCAAGCCGGAAAGTTCGACAACAAATCCACCAACGAAGAGCGAGATGCCCTCCTGCGGACGCTGCTGGAGAGCGCGGAGGCGGCGGACCAGCTTGGCGCGGACCAGGAGGAGATGGACGATGACGACTTGAACGATATCATGGCTCGATCTGACGGGGAATTGGTGCGCTTCCAAGAGATCGACCGGGAGCGACAGAAGAACTCCCCCTACGGCCCCGGCAAAGCGTTGCCGCGTCTGATGTGCGAAGATGAATTACCGGAGATCTACGTGGCGGAGGATAACCCGGTCCCGGAAGAGGTCGAGGTGGACGTTGGGGGTCGCGGCGCGCGCGAACGCAAGGTCACTCGCTACGACGACGGGCTCACCGAAGAGCAGTGGCTCATGGCCGTGGACGCCGACGACGACACCATCGAGGAGGCCATCGCGCGCAAAGAAGCGCGGGTGGAACGCCGCCGGGTCAACAAGGAGAAGCGCGGGGGGCGGGGCGGCGACTCCTCGCCGGAGCCGTCGCGGGAGAGCTCAGAAACGCCACAGCCCAAGAAACGCCGCCGGGGGCCCGCCCCGAAGCGCAAGGCGGAGGAGCTGGTGGAGGAGACGCCGCAGCCCAAGCGGAAGCGCGGCCGGCAGGCGAAGCCGCCCGACACGCTCAGCAGCCAAGACCGGGCCATCATCAACCGCATCCTGAACACCACCTATCAAGCACTGATGGATATGGAGCAGGAGCTGCCGGCCGACGAGTCGGACAGCGAAGATGGGCCCGTCACGCGCTCGGTCATCGAGCCGTTCATGAAGCCGCCCCCCAAGTCGCAGTACCCTGACTACTACATGATCATCCAGACGCCGATCGCGATGGAGATGATCCGGAAGAAGATCAACCGCGATGAGTACCAGAACTTGCGGGATTTCCGGAACGACATCCACCTGCTGTGCCAGAACGCGCGGACGTATAACGAGGACGGGAGTCTTCTATTCCAAGACGCCAACGACATTGAGGTACCCCTCTCCTTCCTTCAATCAACTTTATTGAGAATTTTTTAGAACATGGCTAACTCCGATCAGGCGAAATGTGTTTCCGAATTGCAGAGAATGACCGCGGACCACCCTCAATTCGCCAACTTTGACGATGCGAGCGCCGCGACTGGCAACGATGGCTCGGCCGCAGCGGCCTCTGGACCCGAGACGCCCAGCGCAGCCACCCCGGGACAACCGAAGCTAAAGCTGACCTTCAACAGCGGCAACCGGGAGAGCGTGGGTATCAACGGAGGGCCTATGACAGGAGGGAGTGAAGACGAGTAAACCGGACGAAGGAAGGAAAGAAAAATAAATTAAAAATAAATTCGACAAAAAGGGAAGAGAAGGATTATGACCACCGGAAACGTGTGTATCGATCTTACTCTTGCCTCCTCACCCTCTTCTGTTCTATTCTATCCCGTGTCTACCTAGTTACCATTTTTTTATTTTTTTTTATTATTCTTTTGCTTGATCGATCTTGGCATGTATCCCCTCTGGGTGTTTCGTTTTGTTTTGTTTTTTTTTATTGATCCATTTCTGGCCGGCGTTTTCAACTTGGTTGGCTGGGGATGGATGTATGGATGGATGATGGATGATGGACGGCGCAGCGCTGAGAGGATGCCGACGAGCGTGAGATTGGTGATTCTGGTGATGTTTACCTTTTTTGTCTTTCTGTTTATTACTTTTTTCTTATTTTATGGCGGATGATCTTATTTCTTCTTATTCTCTACTTTATTTTACCTTTTTTTCATTATCTTTTTGTTTCTACCAGACTATTATTTGTCTCGTGGGCTCTCGATGTGTGACTACCTTACTTACTATACTGCATTACACTTCCTACTACAACTAATACACTGCTTGGTCTGTTAGATAGGAGATGTATTCATTGCCTGATTTGTTGGCCCGCGTTCCTCGGTCGTGTCTACATTGTGTAAGTGTATACATAACTAGTGCATCGAGTCCAGTAAGTAACTAGTAGCTAGTATAGTAAGTTAATGGTAGTAGTATGCCTCGAGTCTGCCAGGCACATCCCTAACTCCCACTCTCCATACAGACGGCGCACAATCCAACCCAGTTATTGGCTAAGTAGGTATATAGATGGGGCTGATCGAGAGTACATACGCATGCGCATCAGTAGCGTATGGACTACTAGTCCTACCTGCACCAGAGGACCAACCATGTTGCGTGCTGTGGGTGGGATTGGATTGGTTGGAGATAGCTGCTTTATACTACCTACATAGCTGTAGGTACTTCACCTATCTCCTACTCCGTACCTACGGAGCTATCTAACTGTCTATCTGTCTTTTTGGTCTTCTTTAGGCTTTCTAGAAGGTTCTCTAGAGGTACTTATTAGAGAGTGTGTAGGATCACAAGTTACAAAAAATGGATGGTCACCTGATTTGTGCGTGCTCCCTGTGAGACTGGTAGCGCGTGTAGATCATCAAGTCCTGTATATCGGTAGGAGTCACTAAATCAAGTATCAAATGCGACAGTTCTCGATCTTTCTCAACGTCTCCACAATCTATATCATGATCGATGAGATAATAATTCCAAAGTCATACGTCACCGCAGCGACGTCACGAGCCATCACGTGACCTACGGAACTGGAGCTCCTCACTGATTACTGTAGGGGAAAAAAAGGTGAGGCCAGCTCGTCCGTGTCCAGTCCGGTCCAGCCAGTCCGTCTTCTTCCTCTTCTCTTCTTCTCTTCTCCCTTTCTCTCTCTCCTCTTTCTCTGTCCCCTCACTCTTCACACCCTTCACTTCCCACGATTGATACAGACTCATCTTAGATATTCTATCTACCCCCTTTATCTGGCTTGTTAGCTTCGGATTTAGTTCTCCCCTTTTTTTGTTCCTTTCCATCATCACAAAATGGCCTCTTTCCAGGACCGTGCCCAGCACGCTGTTGCTCAGCTTGATAAGGAGGTTAGTTCGTTACTTGATTCCTGTGTTTGTGTGTCTGTCTTTGTCGCTGGTCAAACGAGATGATCTGCTTTGATCTCGGTTTCGCCTTCTTGTTTGATTATCCTGTTCTTCCTACTTCCTGAATGCGTCATTTTTCGGGCTTGTTTTCGTACTGCTCGGATCCCGCGCATTTTTCTTTTTGTCCCTTGATCGTTGGATCTATCCCCCCATCTGCCCTCGCTTTTGCGACGATCATCTTGATTTTGATAATGCTTGAACCCCGTCGCGATGCAATGCGAAATCTCCGAGTGAAAACGCTACCGCCCAGCTAGCTGGAAGCAACCGAGCTAACCACCCATAACCTACCAGCTCTCCAAGTACCCCGTCCTCAACAACCTCGAGCGTCAGACCTCCGTCCCCAAGGTCTACGTCATCCTCGGTCTGGTCGGCATCTACTTCTTCCTCGTTTTCTTCAACATCGCCGGCGAGTTCCTGGTCAACCTGGCCGGTTTCATCGTCCCCTGCTACTACTCGCTCAATGCTCTCTTCACCGCTACTACGGTTGATGACACTCAGGTATGCTCCCCTTTCCCACCTACTGGTTTTTGTCCTGTTTCTCTCCCCTAGTCTGGTGACAATGCTGATGATCTACTAGTGGTTGACGGTATGTGTGACTCGTGATCCCGATCGGATCGTGTGCGGTGCTGGGCTTAGGCGAGCTACCGCGGCCTGGCCCGCCCACGTGACGTCCCCCGACGGTGACCCCGGTCCCTTGGCTGACATGTGATTCACTTCTAGTACTGGGTCGTGTACGGCCTCTTTACCGTTGTTGAGAGTGCCATCAGCGCGCCTTACTGGTTCCGTACGTATTCTGTGGATATGGATGGAGGATATTCCTGCCATCTGTCTCATTGAACAGCTGCTAACCTGATCAGCCTTCTACTACATCTTCAAGCTCGCCCTGGTCCTCTGGATGTCTCTGCCCCAGACCAAGTAAGCAACCCCCGCAGAATCCACGCCTCCAGATCGATTCCACTAACCCGTATATTCGTACAGCGGTGCCCAAGTCGTCTTCCACTCCTTCCTCCAGCCCGTTCTCGGTCGCTTCTTCACTGGCGGCTCCACCTCGGCCAACCTCCGGGCCCAGGCCGAAGCGGCTGCCAAGACCCAGTAAATAGAGCGCGAGTTCAAAGATGCGGGATGCCTAACGTGACCCGTCTTCGCCGTGGATCCACACGATCGACGCTCCGTTGAGTGGTATTGGTGTAGATTGGGATTCGGGTTGGTTTCAGCCCTGGTTTCTTTTTCTTTGTTTGTCTCTCTTCCGCAAGATTTACGTTTTCTGCACGAAATCTAAGGAGAAGATGATGATTCGGGATCCCGTGTTTTGTTTGCTGCGAATGGGCTGGATGGAACCTGTTGGATTAATTCTGTCTTGTCTGATCGATGTTTCTTTTTTTTTCTTAACTTTCATGTTAGCTTTTCCTTCCTGTTTTGGCCCGAGTTTGGGTCAGTAGAATTGGGAACATGGCTCGGCTAGCGCCGGGCCGTGCAAGGACGCGGGTATGAGTGATTTTGGAATGTGATAATGCCACTGATCAATTTGGAGTATCTTTATTCACTGGTTTAACTCTTCGTATTCAAGATGTGGGAATGGTTCAGGATGTAGGAAAGAGTAGTAATGTACATGGAAGACCCGAGCCAATAAATTTAAACAGCAATAAGGCAATACAAGACAGGATATCGTAAAAGCGAGTAATTTCTTTCTTTCTTTGTTTCTTTCTTTCTTTATATACCGACATCACGTCACACTGGGTACCGTAGCCCAGAGAGTGAGTAGGAGCAGGCGTAGGAATCAAACGCAATGATTGCTTCGCATAAGGTCATAAATAGTCGTCAACAATGTATGTGTGGATATATGGATGTATGGTGATCAGTACAGCCCAAACCGGTTCTGCCAGCCGTCTGTGCGCGGGTTGACTACGACGCGGTAGGGGAAAGGGTTGGAGTCGCTGGTGGTGATAGGCGGGATGTGGTCTTTGTCGCGGTTGACGACGGTGAGGATCTTGAGGGTGGCTTTTTGGAGCATGTTTTCCATGGCTTTGCGGACTTTGGCGCGTTCTGTTGTTTGTTAGTCTACCTTCGAATTATCTCTGCTAGTCCACCCCTTGATTGTAGCGCTGGGTAGATAGAGCAGGTGTTAATAATAGGGAGACATACCTGACTCTGTTCGCGGCGTCGCGATGGTCACATCCAAGTTCCACACCTCCCAGCAGACCTCCTCCTCGCCCTTCCCTGCTAACCCCCCGAACCATAACCCCGAACGTCGCCGCTTCTTCTCGTAGAACTCGACGGCCATGCGGCCGCGCACGCCGCCTCCGCTTCCGCTTCCGCCGGCGCCGGCGCCGCCGTCGTGGGTACCCGCTGCGGAGGTGGCGTGTTGGCGGACGAGGGTGCTGATGCGCGAGTCGATGAGGGTTTCGAGGTCTACGTCGTTGATGACGGGAAGGGTAAAGTCTAGGACGTCGAAGGTTTTGGGACGGATGCAAGTGAAGTAGCGGTGGAAGAAGATTAGGTTGAGGACGCCTGTGGGGAGTTAGATTTGTCCATTGGTGGGGGGTGTGACAGGTATGGGGTTTGGATAGGGAGGCGTCAAGGAGGAAGAAAGGAGGTTCAGGTGAATAGGGAGGTGTAGGTACCTTTTAAGACATCTCGGACGGTAGTTTTATCGGCGAAGATCTCTAGGAAGTACTCTGGAGGGGTCCTGCGGGGCTCCATGGTTGGGGAAAGGTAGGACCCTGGTGCCAGGGGTCGACCTCTGGGGGGAGGAGGGAGAAAGAAGGGAGAAGATGGGGTGGGGCCTGTTCTGAGCACGGATATCTAGCGAAAGGGGAGTAATCAAACAGAATAGAGGGCTGAAAGACAAGAGATTGACTGGATGTTTAATGGAAGAACAAGGTGAAGATGAGGAGGGAGCAAGGAGAGATTATTGGAGGAGTGGATTGCAATCTGGTCTATGATGACATAGAGGGGCTTATAGAGGACCCATAGCTGGGATGGGTAGAGGGGTTTAGTCTGTTATACAGGAGATCCACATATGCATATTGAGAAGAGGATATGGAGGAAGAGGAAGAGAAGAGAAAGCAGAAGAGGGCAAGAGGAGAAAGAGAAAGAGAGAGAGAGAGAGAGAGAGAATGAGGAGAAAGAAGATTTGCCCCTCGTGAGAGATAAAAAGATAACGTAAGTTGATCGAGAGAAAGTGTCAGTAAGATAAGGTGTCGATGTATCGTTACCGTATTGATGCCTAAGGTGGCACTCGGCTCATCACCGCGCATATGCTTTCTCCTCTATACTGCATGCTCGACATACTCGGTCTCTACTCTCTCCACCCTGGTTTTTTATAGTTGGAAAATCTCCAGTCTGGAAGCCACCGAGCTTTGTGACTTTCAAAACCATACTGAAATTAGATCTCCACTGTCGTACCTAGGCTGTAGCCCCTACATGAGAGGTCCAGTGTTGATCAACTGGACTGATCAGTTTAGCCGAGGCCGCGCTGCCCCATTCATTCTTCCCCGACCAACCTCATCTCATCCGAGCTTCGTCTTTTCTTCTCCTTCTCCCTTCCATATTCCTCCCCCCCTTTTTCGTCCTCCATCTCATCCGGATTGACTTCTACAAGACCTCCATTTTGGACTATCTTTACTCCATCAGCAAATTCCACCCGATCAGCTCTGACACATCCCATCCTGCAACGCCCCCCTCGATCTTGGCTCCGTCATGATTGGGGCCACCAGGCGCTGGTTCCGGCGCAATCGCAAGGGCCTCGCTATTGGCGCCGGCGTCATCGGAGCAGGCTATCTCGCCGGTCAATATGTCTTGAACAAGATCTCCGAGGCGCGAGAACGCATGAGCAGTGATCGAATCGCCCGGGAAAAGTGGGCGCCCTCCCCTCTCTCCCAAATCCACTTGCGTACCCCCCGTTCTGACTTGGATTTCTTTGTCTAGTTTGCGACGTCGCTTCGAACAGAATCAGACCGATTGCACCTATACCGTCTTGGCTCTCCTGCCCACCGCGACCGAGGATATTTTGGAAGCGTTGCCCGTGGAGGACCTGACCAAGGAATTGCAGAAGAAACGGGCCGAGAGGCTGGCTCGGCTGAATGCCGGCGAAGGCACAGGCTCCTCTGATATGAGCTCCGTCGCGCCCAGCCTGCCAGAGGATGATCGACGGAGCTTGTCTAGCTTGCAGAGTGAAGGGTTCGTCCGGGCGAGCCAATTAGGGGAGTCGGCTCTAGAAGGCGAAGCGGCGGCTCAGCCGAAGCGGAACAAAACCCAGCTCTGGAATGAAGTCAAGATTACTTGTATGCCACCCATTCCTGGTGATGTCTGGTGTGCGGAAAGGAGAACAGGAAAGGGACTGGGAACAGGACGCCAGGATCGCCGCTAACCAGCTACAGCAATTACGCGCGCCTTTACTCTCATCTACACCCTCTCTCTGCTGACCATCTTCACCCGAATCCAACTCAACCTCCTCGGCCGTCGGAACTACCTGTCTAGCGTCATCTCTCTGGCCACGCCCCCGGCCGATACCCCCACGATCCGCCTGGAGGACCATGACGACGATGACCTCACACAGACCTTGGGCAATGACTTTGAGACCAACCGGCGATATCTGGCGTTCAGCTGGTGGCTCTTGCACCGCGGCTGGAAGGAGCTTATGCAGGAGGTACAGGCCGCTGTGACCGAGGTCTTCGGCTCGCTCAACCCCCGGGAGGATATCGCGCTGCCGAAACTGTCGGAGCTGGCCTTGGAAGTCCGGAAACGGGTCGAGGGCAAGACCGAGGAGGAGCGAAAGTAGGTTTCCCCCACATTTGCATTCCTTGTATCGAACATGGACTAATTTCGATAGGAATCGGAAATGGCTGGCCTTCCTGCTTCCCCCACGCGAGGAGGAAGATCAGCTGTTGGAGGACTCGGGAGTCCTGGGGGTGACGGAACCAACCTCCGCCCAGACCACGTCGGCATTGCGCCACCTTATCGACGAGACGGCCGATCTGATCGAGTCCCCAACCTTCACGCGCGTCCTGACGCTCCTGAACAACGAGTCCTTTGAGACCTTGATCCGGCAATGCACGGCGGACGCCTTCAAGACGTCCGCGTCCGAAACCGATCCCCGATCGTTCACCTCCGTGGCCACGGTGGTCCCCACGGTCGAGCCCCGGACCAAGCTGGCGAACGTGCTGGCCGTGATGGCCCGCCAGGCCCATGTCATCGGGAACGGCACCAACCCGCCCAACCTTTACCTGGCGGCCATGGACCAAGGTGTGCGCGAGCTGGAGGCGTTCGCGGCGGTGGTCTACAGTTCGAATTTCGACCAGGAGCTGCTGGGGTCGGCAGCGAAGGCGGAGTCCCTGGGCGCGGAACCTGCCGACGGCTCGGACTCTGCATCGTACGTGGCGCCGGTCCTGGTCGATCGCGAGGAGGTCGAGACTGCCGAGGAGGATGGGTACCATCATATCTCAACCGGGGGCGACTCGACGTTTGAGCAGGCGTGGGGGAAGGCAGTTCATGAGCCACTGCCCGAGGGATCCGCCGCCTAGAGCATCGAGGCGTCCTCACCTTTGTGTTATGACCTTTCTTTTTTCTTTGATTTCTCTCTTTCTGTCGATCTTCTCTTCCTACCCTAGCATGTGTTTCTCAATCCCGGAGATTGGTATGATGATTAGAGGGTGACTGTTCTTATCTGTATGATATTCGGATCTATTCTGTGGAAGGCAAGTTTTAGGAGCATCTGGATTTGTGGTGGGGTCTCCCATCCACGTCCTGGGCCCATCGACACGACCGCTGGACACCCGCCCCAGGCGAAGTAGGGATCTCCAGAGCAGCTGTTGACGGAGATCAATCAACACGAAATGAAGCTGGAGGCCCAGACCATGTGACAACGGGCATGTGACCGGACGGAGAGGGGGGATATATTACATAATCCGACCCACCGGTAACAGCCGCGTATTTCGGTATTGCTTGGTATTTGCGGGGAAATCTCGACTTGTGGGTCGACCTTCATCTGGAGTTGTCATCTAGATCGGACCGTTCGATATTAGAAATAGATAAACAAGTGCGGAGTACACAACGGAAATTCAAACCGAGCATGTATACCAAAAGTCCCTCGCACTAAATGACGGGATCAGGCTAGCGAGTTGGGCTGCGAGAGCGCCGGAGGACGCCGTCCGGAGACACGATGTCCAATGGTTGATGATAGTCCGCGAGGTTGCTTCAGGGATTGGGGGCCTTGAATGATGGCTGTCGGGTTTATTTTTGGCTGTGGTTTTTTCCCTTGAAAATTTGACTTTTCTCTCCTCTTCTGACATTTTATTTGGTTTTCTTATCTTTTGCGCTTGGCTTTGGGTTCTTTAGTTGTTTTATTCTTCCCCCCATTCTCTTCTCTGTCAGGTTCTGCGTGGTTTGCTGTCAGCCTTCATCCTTGCTCTTCCGCCCTTCCTTCTACTATTAAGTCAGACTCAGTTGAGGGCACCGGTCTATCGTGACATTCGCGCGTCTCCGGTTATAACCGTCAAAGATACTACCGAGACACGTACGGATTGAATTGAACGAACACCATGAAGTTCAAAGGTCTGTACAGAACCAGAACCGGTCGTCTGGGATAACCACTGAATCGTACGGACTAATCAGAGCATATCGGCATCGACGATGAACTGGAGGAGACACAATTCCAGACGCAGACCCCACCCCCCGGTCTACCGCGTCTCACGCAGACCACGGAGCGCAGACTCATGGCCAAGATCGATTGGCACCTGATGCCCTGTCTGTGTGTCATGTATCTACTGGCGTTCCTCGACCGGTATGAGCTATCTGCGCTGTCTTTTTGAACATATATTGACCTCGAGGTGGTGATAGGGTAAACATCAGCAACGCAGCCGTGCTGAAACTCCCAGAAGACCTGGACATCGTGGAAGGGACCAAGTACAACACGGCGCTCACGATCTTCTTCGTCCCCTATGTGATCTTCGAGGCAGGTTTTGCTCGGCGCAACCGCCGCATAGATGGCCAGAGAGCAGGGCGCTGACCGGACTGTGAAGATTCCGTCGAATATATTGCTCAAGAAGCTTAAGCCGCATGTGTGGTGTATGTTTGTCTGTCTTGTTTGATTGATACGAGAACTGACAGGTGCCTGCTAGTATCGATGTGCATGTTTCTGTTTGGTCTCGTGACTATTTTCCAAGGATTGGTCACCAGTTGGGGAGGTTTGATGACGACGCGTTGGTTTCTAGGTGCGATATGAACTCGGCTGTCACGGTATATATAGCGCTGCTAATGGATGGGAGTGTAGGCATGTTTGAGACGGGCATGTTCCCGGGATGTATGTTCCGCCTTTCCCATGCTGGGTTCTAACCTAAAGTACTAAAGTTCGGCACAGGCTTCTATCTACTGGGGATGTGGTACAAGCGCAGCGAGGCCCAAAAGCGATTCACCTTCTTCTTCAGCTCCACGACGCTCGCCGGCGCCTTTGGGGGCCTGTTGGCCAGCGGACTCGGCAAGATGGAAGGCATTCGAGGATACAACGGCTGGCGGTGGGTGTTCATATTCGAGGGTCTTCTGACCTGTCTCGTCTCGTTTGCCTTGTTCTTTATGCTCCCTGACTTTCCCGAGGAGACGAAGTGGCTTACTGACGAGGAGCGCGAGTTCCTCCGGGTCAAGCTGGCTGAGGATGTGGGTGAAGCGGGGCATGAGACGGTGTTGACCTGGCGTGGTGTTTTGGATGTATTCAAGGATTGTGAGTTTGGAGGAACGAAAGCGAGGACTATTGTGTGGTTCTAATTGGCAGCAGATAAGATCTTCATCGGGGGGTTGATGTATTTTGGGCAGATTGTTACAGCTTATGGTAAGCCTACTCATTCTATCAATACTTTCGAGAATGCCACTGAGGCTCAAGATACTGCCCCTGAAGGAATATGGGAGAATACATCTGGCTAACATAACCCAGGCTACGCATTCTTTGCACCAACGATCATCAAGACCTTTGGCCACAGCCGTACGTATGTGTTCGACTTGACTGATGCCATCTCTAACATCGAGCTAGCTATCATGACCCAGCTGTATTCGATTCCCCCATGGGCAGCAGCCTGGGGCTTCTCAATGCTCATCGCCATCCTGTCCGATAAGCTGCGCCATCGATTCGCATTCACCGTCATCCCCATGTTGATCGCCATGGCAGGCTTCGCGATCCTACTAAACGTGCACGGGATAGAAAACCGCCAGGTCCAATACGGGGCTCTGTTCATGGTCACCTGCGGCTGCTATAGCGCCATGCCGGTGGTTGTCTGCTGGTTCGTCATGAACCTTGGAGGACACCGCCGGCGGGGTGTAGGCACGGCGTGGCAGATTGGATTTGGAAATGGTGAGTTTAACCATATACTACAGCAAGCACGTCCACTGACACTCGCAGTCGGCGGGATTATCTCCACGTATGCATTCTTGAAGAAGGACGACTCGTACCGCAATGGCTACATCATCAGTGTGTCCTTCCTTAGCTTTTCGGCTGCTTGCTGCATCTCGTATTTCATGGCTATCTGGACGGAGAATCGGCGACGGGACCGGGCAGCGGCCAACGGGACGGCGCCTGAGGTGCAGGACCAGGACCAGGAGCTCCTTGGGGATATGGCTGTAAACTATCGCTATTCGTATTAGAGTCTTTGGATAGGCATACTGATGCCTGGGGGCTATATTATAGATTCCGGAGGGGATTACTCTACTGTATTGAAGTTATGACCTGTCCGATCGAATAGACGTAGAGACTGAGTAAGAGATTAGTTGTACGATGCACATTAAACTAACTTTTAAGCTTTAGGCTCTAGAACAGCAACTCAATGACACACGACACTCAATAATACCTTGCTATACCCAGCAAGCTCAGCATGGCTACATCACCACTACATCACACAACACATTCACACCCACAACACCACAATCAAAAATCAAAAAATCAGATAAAAAATCAATAAAAATCAAACAATGAACTCAATGGAAATACAGAGAAACAGACCCAATCAACGGTCCACACAGTACAATATATACACCCCGCCGAACAACTCCCAGCACAGACCGGGCGGAGCCAACCCGTGATATCACCGGCTGACATAAGCACCACACTCGGTAAAGTGCCGCCCATGAGCCAATCAGCGCCCTCACCGCACTAGCGAGCCCTTAGCGGCACCGCCGGCTGAGTCAGCCACGGCGCACACAAGAAGCTCGCGGGCCTGCGTTCTCCGTCTTTCTTGCAACCATCCTTCTCCCTCATCATCGCAGAGTGAGTGCCTCTCCAGCCCATACTGGGCAGCTTCCCTTTCCATTAGGGATTGACAGAGTAATACTAACTACGATTAGACATCTACGAAGATGAGAGCCAAGTGGAGAAAGAAGCGCGTTCGTCGCCTCAAGCGTAAGAGAAGAAAGATGAGGGCCAGAAGGTGAGCTCAACCCAACCCAAAGGGAATGAATCAAGAGAATGAAGAATGCTAACGATAATACAGCAAGTAAATGACTCGCCCACTCCATCTCAGCTTCTCGTGCAAAGCTCAGGTTGAACGCTGAACATGATACAATACCGACGACGTGACGACGCTTGAATGATCGTTTCTTGCTGCGTGCGTTGCTCCGGCCACTCCAACGGGGCCTATCTGGTCTTTTTTCTCTTTACTGTCGAATTCGGGGTCTTATCGTTCGACACCATACGATGATCCAATCCCTCGGGGCCCATTTTCAACGAGTTCGACTATCGACTATTTTTACGATCGGATTGTGAGGCTTATGCTCTCTTTTGTCTCGGAGTGGTACCAGTGTTTGGTGGGGTTGGAGGGGTCAGTGGATGGATGGTTTTTTTAGCTGTTGATTCTCTGGTCCTTGAGTCTTTCGTACGGAACTGGTCAACTGTGATTTTGTGTCTGGGTTTCTGACTTCGGTTGGAGTCTGGGTGCAGAGTTATGGAGAGGTCCTTTGAGTGTTTATTTAAATCTACCCAATAACACAAAATCGTGAATACTCCATATATCCTCTTGTAGTCATCGCAGCAATAGCGAGTAGTTCATGCAACCCGTCATAATAAGTATTGTGCGTGGAAAGGCCTTCGCATTAAATAGTAGTACCGTAAGGTCATAAGCATTGGCGTATCAGACAACCCAAACGCTCTCCGCCTTGCGAGCGGAGTCGGATTTTCCGCCCGGCAGTTTTTTGACATTTTTTTCTCCCGCCAAGCAACAATTCAACTCGACTCCTCCGTCCTTCTCACCCCAATCCACAAGTCACCAGACAAGATGGGCTCCGACAAGATCGAAAAGAAGCGCAAGCGCGCCTCTGATCGCCATGAGCGGCCCAGCAAGAAGACCGCGCTGGATCCGCGCGAGCTGCCTCCGCTGGCCGTGAGTGTGCTCAAGGATGATAGCGAGTTGGCGCCTGTTATCAGTATGTTCTTTCCCCCTCTTTTCCTATTGTTTAGAATGTGAAAGGATGGCAAGGGGGATAGACAAAGGGAAAGGAAAGGAAGAAAGAACTAACAATCAAAGCAACAACTCCCGGATTGAAAACGTCCGGAAACATCAACCTCAAACCCTACGTCAAGAACCGCGCCGCCCCCTCCTCGTCCTCCTCGCGGAACCAGGGCATCGTGTCGTCAGAGCTGCTGCTGCAATCGTCGGAGCACCCGAAGCTGGATTTCGTGGGGCGCGAGTCGAACGAGGATGCGGACTCCCAGCTGAAGCACTACGTTGCGGTGTTGGATGCTGAGAAGAAGACGTGGGAGTTTGTCGAGGTGCGGCGCATGGTGGTGAGGGGGGCTGTGAGGACGTTGAAGCCTGTGGATGAGGAGGAGAGTGAGAGTGAGGATGAGATGGTGGTATGTTCCTTTCTCAAGTGGCTGTTTATGACATCCATTCCCCTCCTACCTGCAAAAAAAAAAAAAAAAAAAAAGGATACTAATGATGTAGAAAAACGTCCGCGCCCAACGCACCGAACTCACCAACACCTTCGGCACGAAACAATCCCGCAAAGCCGCCCAGTCTATGGCTGAAAACGCCCAACTGTCCAACGCCCCCGCCGGCGCCGCAGCAGCCGCCGAAACGGCCATCCTGTCGGCCATGCCCACCGACTCTGCCACCGACCTGGCCTCCAAGGCGGCCGCCGTGCAGGCCCAGGTGCAAGCCGCCAAGCCCGTCCCGCAGGCCAACCTGGAGGCGTCGCATCCGTCGGACGTGTACCCGATCGACAACCTCGTGCCGAACGGACTGGCCACTCTGCGGCAGCTTCCCGGCCTCAAAGACTGGACAGGCAGCGTCAACGCCGGCGAGGCAGTGTCAACCACCTCGCGGTACGTGTCTCGGCGCGTCGAAGCCGTCGTGCACTCCGGCAACACGACCCACCTACAGCTCCTCCGCTTCATCTTCGTGCTTCTCGAGTTCGCGCGCTCGCTCCGCTCCGGCGGCCGCGACAGCGGACCGGGCAGCAAGCGACTGCCCACGCGCGACGACCTCCGCCGCATCCTCTCCTCCTCCACCGGCGGCGCCACCGCCAAAGACGAAGACGAGACAACGCCCGCCACAGCAACCCTGCCCGACCCGATCATCGACGCGATCCGCCGCCGCTTCGCCCCGCAGGGGTCGTCCATGTCCAAGAACGACGTCACGCTCCTGCACACGACCATCTGTGCGCTGTCCCTGCACATCCCTCCGCAGCCTGAGCGCGACGGCGGCGCCAGCACACAGGGCGGTAACGCGTCCAACGAGCTGGCGACGGACCCGTCGGACCTGCGCGACGACCTGCGTCTCGACAACGCCAGCATCACGCAGTATTTCCGCGAGCTGGGCTGTCGCGTGGATAAGCCGCGGGAGTCGGAGTTCGCCAAGTGGGGGATCAAGGGTGGGAAGGCGGAGGCGGCCGCCAGACGGGTGGCGCGGTTGAAGATTCCGGTTGAGTTTCCGAGGGTTAGTCGGGGTGGGAGGCGGTAGTCTTCTTCTTACTCTATTGAAGTAAGATGGAAATAAGAGAGGGGGAGAAAAGTGGTTCTGGCGTTGAAGGTGCATGTGTATAGCTGTTTATAATTCATAGATTTTGTTGTGTTGTGCTTGAGGGCAAGCTGTATCACTACTTTGATTTGCATATGGTTTATAGTAGAGAGAGAACGTCCTCGGCGTAGTCGAACGAAACCAGTGAAATCATATACATCGACCTAACTTTGTCTTCACGATCTTTGAGTCTTAACTAGACATCCAACACTATAATTCACAAACCCTAATATTGAATCCTATATCAAATCATATATGTAATCCCATATCCTATACTATCCTATACTAATCCTATACTAATCCTATACTGAATTTTCTACCCAGCCTAATCCGAAATCCAATCCTAAATCCAATCCGTAATCCTAACCCTAATATCAAATCCCAATCCAACCCTAAGCCCAATCCCAAGCCTTCTTCGCCAAACAAGAACCAACCCCCAAATTCACCGTCGCCGTCTCCGGAAACTCCGCCCTCGAGTTAAACGCCAACTGCCCAACCGCCTCCCTCTCAAAAACCAAACAATGCGTCGACCCACCCCCATGAAACGCCCCAACCACATCCCCCTTCTTCACCACGCCCCCAACATCCGTCCCCGGCATCTCCCACTCACAAGTCGACACCTCCGACATCCCGACAGGCACAAAAGCCACAAGCCCTATCCCCGCTCCACCGTACTCTCTATCCGTATCGATGACGAGGACGCCCCGCGCCGCGATATGCGTGATATACCGCTGGGATAGGTCCGGGCCGGCGGGGTCTGGCCCGCTCGACCCGCCGAAACCAGATGCGGGCGTTTCGGCGTAGTATGTGCCTGGGAAGACGTTGCGGTAGATGACTTTCCCGGTGACGGGGGCGTTCCAGCAGTGGTAGGAGTCTGCGCTGAGGAAGGCCTGGTAGACTGCTCCGCCGATGAAGCTGTTAACGTAGGTCTTGACGTGGGGGTCGTGCGTGGCGCCGAGCATATCGAAGAGGGAGTACGGGGCGTCTTTAAGCCAGAAGGTCGAGCGGCGGGAGATGTCCGTGTCGAAGGCGAGGGGAAAGGATTCGCAGGCGTTGACGACGGCGGCGTCGTCGACGGGGCGAATACCGGGTTTGAATTTGCGGGTGAAGAAGGCGTCCCAGTGCGGGTAGTTGAAGAAGTTTTGGGGGGTGCCGCCGGCGGGGTGCTCGAAGAGGTCGGTGAAGGGTTTGTTGGGCATGCCGGGGGGGTTGGACTGGTTGGCTTTGTGTTCGAGTTGGGCGATGGCCTTCTGGGAGCTCCAGCCTGCGGCGGTTAGGGCTTTGTTGCCTCCGGCGGGATCGGAGGTTCCTGCATTGGGATCTTGGAGGAAGGCGTTCCAGTAGGAGAGGATCTCTTTGAGGTGGGAGTTGACGCGCGGGTCGAGGAAGAATTGTCGCCCGCTGGGGGTGCCCATGGGCCAGTCGAGGATGATGTTGAAGGGGAAGCCGATGAGGCCGCTGGGGATGTTGGCGTCTTCGCCGGCTTCGTTGTCGTTGAGGAAGTACTCGGGCACTTGGGTGAGGAGGGTGGAGAAGAGGTAGAGCATGGTTTTGTAGCTGCGGACCTGTTTCTTGAGGGTGGTGGGGTCCCTGTCGTAGGGTGCCTTTTGGGGGATCTCGTCGAACATGGAGATGGCGAGCATGTAGAGGGTGGAGTCGTTCTCGATCAGCTCTTGGAAGGCTTTGACTGGGTTGGGGGAGGCGCCGAGTTTGGGGGGGATCTCGGCTTTGGTCTTGTCGAGGAGGTGCGAGAGCCAGGCGCGGCGGAGGTGCATGTTCTCGGGCATCCAGTGGCCGTGGCTGTGGAGGGTGCTTCCTGTTGCCATGCCTGGGGGGATGGATTGGGTATAGGTGGGGTGGTAGATGATTGTTTGCATTGTGGAGTGTTTGGGACGCGTTGAGGTGTTGAAGTGATAGGATAGGATTGGATTGATGTGGTGCTAGATGGATATATATCTTAGCAATAGGATAAAGGCCACCTGTAGTCAAGGGTTCAAAGAATGATATACGTATTTATAGAAGCTATAACACGTCCATCTGAGATGATATAATTGATGACATCTACACTATTTAGATAGATTCACGTTTCACAGAACCAGACTTTATGGAGCAGGATGTTTCATGACAGCCACATCAGATACCAAATCAGTCGGGCGATATGATTGATCTCGATCTTTCTGTGAGTTGTATACCTCATGTAGTACATTGAATACTGGGAGACCTGTATGAAACTGACGTGGTCGTCTGATATAGATATAGGTACAGATGTATCATGCTGTTTTATATCCACTCCAAATGGACAGCTGCAGGATCAGATCTAGGCTAGAAGGTCAGATCAAAATAAGCATGAACTACAATCCCATCTATATGGATGAGGACAGCAATGGCCGTTGAACAGAATTGTTCCTCTATAAACTGTCTCAAGAGTCATGAAGAAATCCGAGGGAATGTCTCCACAAGGCGAGGTCTGCAAGGACGCAACCACTTGATAGTGAGTAACTGTCTGCTCCGATTCTCATATCAGATTCTCCATTATTCCCATTGCGATCATTCTTGAGTTATGTGGTTCCCATTGCAGCCTGCAGGCTGTTGTCCCGGATTTCCGCATCGGGCAGATTCATGTAACGTCGCGTTGCATCACAATGGATTGTCTTCTACCTGACATGCTGGATCTATCAAGGTATGTGAATATTATCAACTTCAGCATCTCTCGTTCCAACCAACCCGCGTAGACGATCAAGATCAACATGCTCTTTTTAGCTTCTCTTCTGCTCTTCTTCACAGCGAGAGCGCATCCATTCGACGGCGCCTACCTTGACACCACCCTCGTCCCGGTATACTTCCACCATACAATAGATACCTGGACTGATAACTGATATCATGTAGAAAGGAATCTGCGGGAATGCCACGTCCTACGCAGGCTACGGCCGTTTCCCCCCAAACACCATGAAGGAAGTCCACCACGACCACCCCATCAACCTCTTCTTCTGGTACTTCAAAGCCAGAAACAACCCGGACTCTGCGCCCTTGATCATCTGGATGAACGGCGGACCAGGCGCATCCTCCATGCTGGGCCTCTTCACCGAGACCGGCCCCTGCCACATCAACCCGGATCTCACGACGCGCGAGAACCCCTGGTCCTGGAACACAGACTACAACATCCTATATCTCGACCAGCCAGTCCACACCGGCTTCAGCTACGACACCCCCACAAACGGAACCCTCGACCTAACCACCGGCGGCATCGACATCACCCCAGACGGCATCACCCCGCCAGACAGCCAGACGCTCATCCCAGGCGTCTTCAGCAGCCAGAACCCGACAACAACCGCCAACACAACCGCCAACGCCGCCCGCCACTTCTGGAACTTCCTCCAGCTCTGGCAGCGCGACTCCCCCACGATCCACCACCCCTCCACCAACCCCTCCATCAGCATCTGGACCGAGTCCTACGGCGGCCGCTACGGGCCCCGCTTCGCATCCTACACCCAGCATCAAAACAAGCGCATCGCAAACGGCTCCCTCACCGCAACCCCCATCCACCTCTCCACCCTAGGCATCATAAACGGGTGCATCGACCTCCCAACGCAGATCACATCCACCGCCGAGTTCGCCTACGACCGCAACGCCTACGGCATCGCAGGCATCACCAGCCAGAACTACAGCGACGCCCTCCTCGCGCACGCCCAGAAAGGCGGCTGTAACGACCAGATCCAGTCCTGCAACCACCTCGCGCACACCCTCGACCCACACATGCACGGCAACGCCCCCCCGGTCAACGAAGCGTGCCAGAACGCGAGCGATTACTGCCAGAACGAGATCGAAGGGCCGTACGCCTTTCGCAAAAGCTCGTCCAACTACGACATCACGCACTGCTACCTCGACCCGACCCCGGATAACTTCCACCGCGAGTACCTAGCCACCCAGCGCGTGCGCGACGCGCTGAACGTCCCTGTCAACTACACCGGTATATCAGACGCCGTGGGCACGGCGTTCAACCGAACAGGCGACTACGCCCGCGGGGGATACCTCGCTGATATAGGCGGTCTGCTGGACGCGGGCGTGCAGGTCGCGCTCGTCTACGGCGACAGGGACTACGCGTGTAACTGGATTGGAGGCGAGCGGGCGAGTCTCGCTGTTCCGCATCGCCAGTCAGAGCGGTTCCGACGCGCGGGCTACACCAATATCACTGCCGGTGTAGACGGAAATGATGAAGAAGAAGAAGAAGAAGAAGAGAGGGTAGTCGGCCAAGTCCGCCAAGCGGGCCTCTTCTCCTTCGCCCGCGTCTTCCAGGCAGGCCACACGGTGCCGACTTTCCAACCGGCCGCTGCGTATGACATCTTCCACCGCGCCATGCGGGCGCGGGATATCGCCACGGGGAGTGTCCCTGTCGCTGCGACGGGTGAGGGTGATTATCAGACCAGCGGGAGCTGGAACTCCACGGGCGCCAGGATGCCGGTTGGGGCTGTGCCTCGGCCGACTTGTTATTTGAGGGATATGAAGTCGACGTGTGCGGAGAACCAGATCGAGGCTGTTAGGGAGGGGAGGGCTGTTGTTAGGACGGGTGTGGTGGTTGAGCCGGGCGTGCCTGAGGGGGTGTGTCCGGTTTTCTAGTTTTTCTTT